TAGCACTTTAATGTATTCCCCTGAAGGGTAAAGCCAGAGCCTTCTCTTCCCCCCAACTGTAGGTGTAAAGTGCAGGACCCTCTAGTAGGACTTCTTCTAGCAGTGCCATACACTCTCCGGAGTACAAGGGAAGATGGTAGGCAGTATCAAGGTTCTTGGTAGGGCATATGAGGTTGAGGGTATTTCTCCCAGCCACTGGCTTCCTAGGACCAACTAACCTAACCTTTCAGTCCTAACTTGGTGAATTAGTCCTTGACAGTCATCCCTTTCCCCACTCCTCATCTCCAAGCCCAACCAGCCCTGGTTTTTTCTTTTCTTCTTTTTAAATTTCTAGACAGTTTGGGAACAACACAAAAAAGACTAGGCTTCCATGGGTGACTGGTGGTGCCCCTGAGCCTCTCCGAATTGCACAGGAAGAGGAGAAGGCACTGGGGTTACACATGAAGTCCCTTTCCTAATCCCCATACCCTCCTGGCTGCTTTATTTTATTTTTAAGGGGAGGGATGTCCCAGATTGTGGTTGGGACTCCTTAGAGGAGGAGTGGGTGGGGGGCACCTGGGTGAAGAAGATTAGGCCAAGTCGGTTTTGCCTGCCCTTCCCTTCCCGACTATACCTCTGCTCCCCCTCCCCTCTGCCATGGGCTCTGCCCCTTCCTTCCTACCCTACTTGTCTCCCACCCCGCGCTGGGGCGCCCAGGGTGATCGGCACATCGGAGACGCCCATCATCATCGTGGGAAACAAGCGGGACTTGCAGCGGGGCCGAGTCATCCCGCGCTGGAACGTGTCGCACCTGGTCCGGAAGACGTGGAAGTGTGGCTACGTGGAGTGTTCGGCCAAGTACAATTGGCACATCCTCCTGCTGTTCAGCGAGCTGCTCAAGAGTGTGGGCTGCGCCCGCTGCAAACACGTGCACGCAGCCCTGCGCTTCCAGGGGGCCCTGCGCCGCAACCGTTGCACCATCATGTGACCTCCCCCCCCCACCCTCGGGGCCGGGGGCCACGCCAAGGTTGCTGCCCCTGGCTGGGGGGGTGGGAGGCAGGGGCAGAGATGGGAAACGGAGCCAGCCGAGGGTAGCAAGGTGGGGCATTTGGCTATAGTGGCCAATGCAGGACTGAGGGCCAGGGCCCCTGTTGGGGGTGGGGGGAGGGTCCTCAGAGGTAGCTGGAAGGGGTGCTGATGGGGATGAGGAGTGGATTAGAACCCGCAGCCCAGCACAGGCCTGATGCCCATCCTGACACTCAAACACACTTACACTCCCCCCTACCCCCAACTACTCTGTCCTACCCTGGTGTGAGTCAGGGGGGGTAAGGGAAGTGTTTCATAACTGCCTCTATGGGATCCCCAAGTCCTTAGTTCCTTCCCACCCTAACATTTGTCTTCCTAGGACAGCCATACTCTGCAATGTAGCCTATAAACACTCCCCCTCCCAGATTCTGCTGCCCTCTGAGTTTGGGGGTTCAGGGTTGGAGGAGAACCCCTGCTTCTTGGTGAGTCCATGCCACCTTGGCCTAAGGCTGTCACATCTTGAGAATCCATCCCTGTCCAAAGTCTTCCCACTCCATCCCTGTCTGTCTGTCCCTCTTTCCTTCTATGCAGATGTCTACCTTCTGTCCATCCCCAATCCCCTGAACTCTCCTTTTCCATAGGGCTCTCACTTCTTCCATCTCCCTGCCTCAGGTCTGTGTGTGTCTGTGTGGTCATCCCAAAGGCCTGTTCAGCACAGCACCAGAGGGGATAAAGGGCAGAGAAACACCGATGGCCTCACTGGGACTAGGGTCATGGGGTTGCAGTCCCAGGTCAGCAAGAGGGGAAGGGGGCAGAACCTCCAAATGTGAAGCTGCCCCCTCCCTTCCCTCTCCAGGTAGACTTTTCCCACCCAGCAGCCTCCAGAGACACAACTCACCTACCTTCCAGCCTTAACTTGATGGCCTGGTACCTTCAGGTACTCCCTTCCCTGACCCTCCAACCCCCAGAGCCAGATCAACCTTTGGTTTGAATATTTTACTTTTAATTAATACAGTTTGGAACCAAAAAAAAAAAGGCAAAAACAAGATCAGGTTTCCCATGCATCAATTTCTTCATCCTTTTGCCCTTCTAGAATTGGGACATCTGCGTCCCCTGCAGGGCATGGATGATGGATGGGCCAACCTCCCCAGAGTGGCTGGGCTCACCCCCAGGAGGCCAAATCATGGGGTAGAATGTGTCCTCCTCTCCTCCCCAACACGGAAAGGGCAAACTGGGCAGGCCTCCCTCAGACACCTGGGCACAGGCTCAATTTGCCCAGCTCCTCCTTGCTGTCTTTGCCTCCCTGATTACTTAGCTCCTCCTACCAATCCCAGACAAGCAAAACTAGGAATTGAGATAAGCATGGGGATCCCTCCCTCCCTCCCTAGATTTGTCCCCAACCTCCCCTTGGGATGGAGGTCTGTTTGGGAGCTCCCCTCCTCCCTCTGGCTGGCCCTCTTTCCCCACTTCGGCCTCAGCCCTCTCCCCATTTTTGCCGGCTCCCTGGCCGGATTTCTACCTCTTGTCACCGGAGCTCATCACTGTCAGTTTTTTAGAAATAACAATAATAACGATGAAAATGACGCTAATAATAATGTAAGGGCTAGGATGCTGGCTCTCAGAGCCAGAGAGGGAGAGAGAAGTCATCCTGTGTCCCCACATATATGCTGTCTCACCTACCAAAGGGTAGACCATGTAATAAGCTAAATCCCACAAATCTGTATTTAGTGGTAAAACAGTGGGATGGCATTTCTCCAGGGATGTCTAAGTCGACTCTGCCTGAGAATTCAGCTTGCAGGACAAGATAGATTGGGTCCAAGGCGAGGTTTGCAAGTGGGGTTGAGATTGGGAAGGGCCCTGGGGATGTGGGTGAGTTTATCATTATGATCTAGGGTGTTGGGAGGGGCCTGTGGTATTCTGTTTCCCCAGCTGGTCCCCCAGTCTCCCCTAGAGAGTTAACACAGACTTGTAATAGCCCCAACCCTGGGCAATCCAGGACTCCTGGATTCTGGTCCTTGACATGCTGTGTGATCTTAGACAAGTCGCTCTCCCTTTCTGAGCCTCCCTCTGAAACAGAGGAGATGGCTCCCCTTCCCCACCCCTTCAGGTGGCTGGGAGGGTAAATGAGAGTGCCTCACCTCCTTCTTTCCTTATTATCACTGCCCCTCATTCAGGGGGACCAGAGATGGGAAGGAAGAGTGATATCTTGGCTGCCCCTGTCACATTCTATCTCCAATGTGTCTTCCCTGGATGGGTGTGTGTCCTCTGAAAAGGTGGGCAGGGGGACCAAGGCCTTTGGTTCCCCCCCCCCACGGTGGAAGCTATCCGAATGTATCACCTGACTGATTCTCCCACACCTTCTTTTGCTTCTTTGGATTTTTGGATTCCCCTCCCCCTCTCCTCAGTCTCTGTTCCTCCTCTCCAGGGTTTCCGGCCATAGGGTCTGGAAGTGTCTGTAAAGCTTGTTGCGCTGTTATGGGAAGTCAGATTAAAAAAAATCAGGGAGCATTTTCCCTTGTTTCTGTACTTTGGAGTCAGTTGGATCTGTCTTTGGTAGGAGGATGATTCTTGGACAGGTGAGGGTGGGGGGGTGGGAAGAGGCTCATTCCTGGAGTCCTAAGGTTTCCAGGGGGAGTGAAGAGGCAGAGCCCAGACCCTTTGCAAGGAACAGGCGACCACCTGGCTACCAGTGCCAACCCACTGGGCTCAAGCAACGGACAGAAATTCAAGGATAGTGTATTTAAAGAGGGGCGTACAGAACAACTAGTAAGAATTTCAGAGGGAGGCAGCTAGGTGGCGAAGTGGGTAAAGCTCTGGCCTTGGAATCAGGAGGATCTGAGTTCAAGTGTGACCTCAGACACTTGACACTTACTAGCTATGTGACCTTAGGCAAGTTACTTAACCCTGGTTGCCTCACCAAAAAAAAAAAATTCAGAGAAGGAAATTCATAGGATGGAAGTTTATCTGAACTACATCCCCTACTCATGTACTTCATTCAAGGCATCCAGAAGGATGTCTTGTCTCCTAGTTTTCGAAACCAGTCTGCCCCTTTCCATTTTACTCTTCCTTTGGGGAACTTATTATAAAACAATACTATGTAGAGGAAAGAACACCAGGTTTAGAACCAGAGGACCTGGATTTAAATCCCAACTCAGCTTCTTGCTAGCTGTGTGACCTCAGGCAAATCACTTAACCTCTCTGGGCCTTGGGTTTCCTCAAGTTGGATTTGATTATCTTTATAGTCTCATTGAGGTCTAAATCCTGTGAGAATCTGATGTATAACCTGAATTCATACTGTTTATGTCAAGCACTTTCCTTGTGATTCTTTGTCCCACTCCCTAGACCCACCTATAAGACCAGCCCATAGCCTCTTTTATAAGCTGAGCGATTTTATGAGTCTAAATATTCAGATCTTAAACTGCTGTGAGGATGTTCAGTTCTTTGTAAACAGAAAAATTCCCCTACCCATTTATTGTAACCTTCTTCTCCTCCCAAGGTTGTGATGTGTCCAACCACTTCCTGCGTGAGGTCCCTGAGCCCCCCTCCTGCAGTGTGGGACACTCCAAACAGCACCCAATTTTGAGTTAGGAGACTTGGGTACCAATCCTGGCTCCAACACTAACTATGTGACCATAGACAAGCTAGTTCACTCTTGTGAACCTCAATTTGCTCATCTGTGTGATACTTATTTTACAAAGGTTGTAATCCAGAAAAGTCTTTGGCAAATTTCAAGTACAATAGAAATGAGTCTCTGTCCTTGTCCTCTTCAAAGGTTGAAGGGGGAGGCAGGCCCTCAACAGTGCCATACCCTAAGATGGTGACTGGAGGTGGTTACACCCTCTGTCTCCAGAAGACCAAGAAGTAAGGAAGTAAACATGACTCTCCATGTCAGTGTCCTGGGACAAAGCTGGGAGTTTGCCTCCTGTTGGCTGTGGCTCTATACTTGGTTATCCGCCCAAAACTCAAGAGAGAGAAGGACACATGAATTAGCCTGCTCCAAAGACACATGTAGCTTTAATAATTTAATTGGGAGAAGAGACTCAGGCTTGATCCAGAGGTCTGGAGATAAAGATAAGAGGGTCAGGAAGTGGCTCCTGGTTGGAGGATGGGAGTGGGAGCCATTCAAGGTTATAGAGTGGTTTGGAAGTTTCCCTTGCCACCTTCCAAAATAGAGTATGAAAATGAGGAGGGTTTGTGTCCTCTCCACAACTGGACTGAAGCAATATTTCACCTTTGGCCTCTTTAGCTCAAACCCTGGGGAAAAGAGTGGAGGGAGGAAAACCTCCCACCTTCTAGGGGTGAAGAGTGGGGTGGAGTGGGAGGGTCAGAAATCTGAAAGTGTCAATATCTTAGCCTCGTCCCTCCCTGTCTCCACCTCCACATACTGAGCAGAGGGATGGATCAAGTTTGGATTCCACTTTAGACCCAAGACTCCTCATCGTCCTGTGGGAGCCAGGATGGACCAGCAGGTTGTGATCCCAGGCTTTCAGTGGACAGGGCACTGCTGATCTCTGATGGGGAGATTTCTTCCTCATCCGCTGAACCCCCATCTCCTGCACTACCTACCTGACCCCTCAACCTAGGGGTGGTAGGAGGCACCCTGGCTCGTCTCTGGTGGTAGGCCAGGGGAGTGGGAATCCGGGAGGGCTGCTTTTCTGGATGGTGGTCTCGACGAGGTCGGATCTTGGGTCTCAACTTTAGCTTATAAATGGATGGTATCCTCTCTGGCTTCTTCAACATCCTCCTGCCTTTCCCTGTGGGCACTTTGGACTTTTCCAAGTCTGAGGTGAGTATGGGTTGAGGTACTTCATTGCCATTGGCCTCAGGGACTGGAGTCCTGGATTGGCCTCCCTGCTCTCCTGGAGCTGGTGCTCTTTTCACTTTTGCGCCTCTGACCCCTGCGCCAGCCTTCCTCCCCATCCTATTCTCTTCCAAGCTCCTCTTTCCCTCTGAGTCCCATTTGCTTTGGGCTGGGTCTAGCTCAGGAGTATGCATGATGGACATCCCCCAGCCACCCATGTCCACCTTGAGGAGGGCTGGGGGCTCTACAGCCAGTTCTTGAATGACATTATCATAAAGAGCCCCAGGCACTGGCCACCGTGCCCCGGGGTGGGGGACATACACACCACTTCGAGGAATATGCATTGCTGGGGGCTCTGTGGGGCCAGGAATCACTCCTGGGCGGTCTCCTCTGGCCTCTAGCACCTTGGTATTGGTCAAGATCTCATCTTCCGGGCTCTGGTAGAGTGCCTGTTCCTTGGCCTTGTCAATGAGTAGAGTGGTGAATGTCTGTCTTCCATGCTGGTACCTGGGTGGATGGTCTCTTCCAGCCTCTGTCACAGTGCCCAGTGTCTGATCCTGGCCTCTTGACCTCACCTCCAGGGACTGACTTCCATTTCTAGGCTGAGGAGTGTTTCTTCCTCCAGCCCCAACCCTTATGGATGTGGGGTCTCCCCCTGTTTCTGTTGTGGGAGCTGGGATACCATTTCCAGATTCTGAGGGACTTCTCCCCAGTGTTAGTGGGTGGCTGGAAGCTGAACAGATGGGGATCTTGTTGACCCCTTTAATGGGGGAAGAAGATCGGACAACTCCAGGGTCCTTCAGTTGGGAGGCAATGACTCTTTGTGCCTGATCCTGGGAAGGCTTTCCAATACCCAGAAGGGATTGTTTGAGGGTAAAGGGCTTGGATAGATTGGAGGAACCAGGTAGGGTAGAGAGAACTCTTCCCAGTGATTCTTTAGGAGCCACCTCAGGGGCTGAAACCTTTTGAAGAGTAGGATCAGTGACAAAGCTTTCTCGGGCACCCATCTCTCCAGGGCTCCAGTGGGTAGGGGTCCTTCCCCTGGGAGCCTCAGGTGAGCATCTGCCTTTCCATTGTCCTAAAGGAACCTGCTGCAAATCCCGGCCAGTTCGTGTGAGTGAGGACTGGGATTTTGGGGATATATCTCCAGCTGGTGACAGCCAATGGGATGGAGTGACTGATCTTTCCCGGCTCCTGCAATAGAGTCAGGGGGTTCTAGTGGCATAGTTTCATACAACCTCCTGCCTCTGGGGAAGATGACCTCTCCTCAACCCCCAAAAGACTTCTCTTATTCTGGAGAAAGAGGCACCCTTCACCCTACCATCCTTGCTCACTGGGTGAGAAAGATCCAGCAAAATCTATTCAGCTCTGATTTCATCATGTTTTGTTGCCCGTTGGATAGAAATTGACTAATCTCCACCCCTTAAAATAACCACCTTCTCTCTTTGATGTGAATATGATAGTTGTCTCTCCTTTTCCACTTCTCTAGGCTTAATATTCTCACACCCCCTCACTTCCATTATTTTCCCCATTGGGAAGGGAAAGAATTAGAAGAGTAAGTCTGGCTTTCTGACTCTTCCCAAGGAAGTTGAATGAATTAAATGTTGGCCAACAGCACTAGGTCAGATGTCAGAGACTTGGAATCTAAGCCTGACTCTACCAATAACTTGAGTCAGCCAACACCTCATCTTTAAGTTGAGGTAGCTGGATTAGATGACTTCTAAGAGTCTCATGTAACTCTAACATTTCATGTTCAATGATGATGAGGCAGGGAAGGGGTGTCAGGGAAAAGGCAAAAAATCAAGTGTCCAGGATTGGGGTGTAGAGAGAAATGGGAAGGGGGTGAAAGGGAGACTAGGGAGAACTAGTGAGTTGTCCTGAGAATGGGGGGGTGCCAAGGGAGAAAGGGATATTTCCTGTTCCCCCTCCATACCTCTGAGGTGCAGCTGTCTCTCCTGGAGACCCCTCACCTGCCCCCCACCTATTGGGAGGTCTTGGGGAGCAGGAGGTGGGAGGTCGCGGCTTATGGCCTGAGGGTGTGTATGTCTTCCAATCCACCGGGGGCAGAGGACTCTGGGAACGGCTGATGGTCAGAATGGGCTGAAGCTGTGTAGAACCCCCTTGTACTCTCACCTCATGCTGTACTGGGGGAATCTGTGGCTTCTGGGGGCTGCCCATCTTGTGAGCTGCCAAAATAATCCCCCCCAGGAGTGGGGAAGCAGAGGAGAAAAAAAAGGCTCAGCATCTGCTGATATTGCTCAACTCCCCCCCCCCCATCATCTCTCTTCTATTCCCTATCCCACTTCCCACACTATAGAGACCCAAAGAGCTGGACTGCTAAACCCTCTCTTCTCCCTGCCAGATGTAAGCACCATCATCTCATCCATCCAAGTGTTTAGGTGCCATCTGGTGGTGACTCTTAGCATTTCAACTACTCTCTCTCCCAGCTTCCCACTTACTTTTGGTGTATCTTCCAGACTCTCAACCACCCAAGACAATGACTCCCAGCTAGGCCTCCACCCTACAGTTCTCTAGAAGCTAGTCTCTCTTTTTCTCAGGAAAGGAACTATTAGCCCCCAGTCCTTCCTCAATACTTGGGGATTAGTCCTGATTCCTGTCCCAGGGCTCTATCCCTTCCCCTTCCCTATCCCTTATATCGAGTTACAAAGAGGATGACCATAGGTATAGGAGTGACCTCAGTGGCCAGAAGAGACTCACAAAGAGAGGTACATCGGCAGGGGTCGTGTTTATCCAGGTAGTGGCCTAGTGTGTCCCAGCCACCCCCTACTCGGACCATCACATGATTTCGCAAGATCTGCCAGGGATAAAGGTGAGGTTAGAGGAGAGAGGGATGAGGGCACTAGTGCCCCACCAAGATTTGGATCAGGGCTTTGCCTTAACATCATGCTACCACAGAGTACCTGGGCTTATGCTAAGGAATATCCCAACAGGTGTGACCTCCCAGCTTGCATCATGTTTCTGTACGTATTTCTTTCAATACACATTTATTTCAACATGTATTTGTGAGAGAATACTCCAGGCAGGAAAAGAACAATAAATAATAATAATAACAATAGTTACCATTTATATGGCAGCTAGATGGCACAGTGGATAAAGCACCAGGCCTGGAGTCAGGAAGACCTGAGTTCAAATCTGACCTAAGACACTATTAGTGCTTTGTGATCCTGGGCAAGTCACTTAACCCTATTTGCCTCAGTTTCCTCATCTGTAAAATGAGCTGGAGAAGGAAATCACAAACCACTCTAGTATCTCAGCCAAGAAAACCCCAGATGAGGTCACAGAGTCAGACATGAAATGATTAACCACCACCAACAACCATTTACATAGCACTTTAAAGTTTGCAAAACACTTTATAAATATAGTATCTCATTCTATCATAACAATAATCCTGGAGGGTAGGTGCTATTATATTACAGTTTCCTCATTTATAGATAAGGAAACTGAGACAGGGGCTAAGTGATTTAAGTCACACAGGTAATAAGTGTATAAAGCTGGATTTGAATTCAGATCTTCTTGATTCCAAATTTAGTACTCTCTCCACTGTGTCATTTGGCTGCTTCAGACAAGAGCATCACTGCCCACCCAGACTTGGCTCGGGGCTAAGGGATATCCCAACATATGTGACCTCCCAGCTTGCATCTCATGTATACACACAAGTCTTGTTTTAATTTTCAAATCCAAATTTCTCCCTCCCTCCACTCTTGTCCCTACCCCCTGAGAAGGCGAGAAATATTATACTCCATATACTTATAAAGTCTTGCAAAACATATTTCCACATTAGCTATGGATGCATATTACAAGGTGGATTTGTGAAGGGATACTCTCGTCTGCAAGGGATCAATAGATACAGTTCAAGGACTCCCTCCTTCCTCTGGAGGCTCTGTTGGGTGGATTCCCATGGATATACCTATTCTCGAGGTCAACAGCCATTTTTCAACATTGCATGTAGTGGTAGGTATTGTAAACTCCATCCTTGATTTCCCACTCTCCGCTTAAACTTGATCATGGATTTGTCCAACATCTCTCTCTGGCTCTCATGAAAGGGCAATTTGGTTCAATGGAAAGAATGCTGAACTTGACTTCAAATACCACATCTTAACAAGCCTTATGACTTTGCTTACAAGTCACCTGATTTCTTTGAGTCTCAGTTTTCTTACCTGTAAGATGGGAGTGATAATGCCCATAGGATCTACCTCACTAAGGTATTAGAATCTAATGAGATGATGGACATAAAATCGATTTGTAAATGCTATATAAATGGCATTTATGATTTCAAAATATTACAGCTGCTTGTGTCAAGACTCAAGAAGGGAAGGGGCAGCTAGGTGGCACAGTGGATAGAGCACCAGCCTTGGAGTCAGGAGGACCTGAGTTCAAATCTAGACTCAGACACATAACACTCACTAGCTGTGTGACTCTGGGCAAGTCACTTAATCCCAATTGCCTCACCAAAAATATAACCTCAAGAAGGGAAAGTGCTTTGTGACCCTGGTCAAGTCACTTAATCTGTTTGCTTCAGTTTGCTCATCTGTAAAATGAGTTGGAGAAGGAAATCACAAACCACTCCAGCATCTCTGCCAACAATTGCCTCACCAAAAATAAAATAAAATAAAATAAAATAAAACCTCAAGAAGGGAAAGCCCTCTCTGGTGGTCTGCCTTTCAACCTGTGGTAAAAGGCGTCCTTGAACTTTGTAAAGCTGATAATTGCTCAGCCCTTATGAAGGGAAACCTCTCTCCTCCTTTCCCCTCCTTCTTATTTCTGCTGAGGATTCCACCATCATTGCAGCCACCCAGGTCAATACTCTGAATCATCTTCTGTAGTTCTTCGAAGTCTCCTTCAACCCCATAGTCAATCAGTTGCCAAATCTTGTCAGCTTTGCCTTTCACACCACCTTGTATCTGCTCTCTTTTTTCCACTCATGCCACAACCACCCAAATCCAGGCTCTTATCACTTCTTGCCTGGCCTCTCTTTCCATATCCAGCCTCTCGCGTCTCCAGTCCATCCTCCACCCAGCTGCCAAATTGATATTCCTAAAACACCATTCTGACCGTGGGACTCCCTGGCTCAAAAAATGTGCAGTGGCTCCCTGTTGCCTCTAGGATAAACTACAAACTCCTGTGTGTCCCATTTAAAGCCCTTCACAATCTGCCTGCAACCTCTCTTTCCAGGCTGGTTCCACATTGCTCGCCAAGCCCTCTAGGTCCTGCCTTAACTGACCTGTTTCCCTGTTCCTCATTCACGACAGTCTTCCTCTGGTCTCAGCGCCTTTACGCAGCCCGGCCCCCATGCCAGTGCTGCTCTCCCTTCTCTTCTCACCCCTGCCTCTAGCCCCTAGTATCTACTTCAAGCCCCACCTCCAATGATGCCTTTCCTAATGCTCCCGTCCCCCAGTTGTTAGGGATCAACCCACACGGTATTTGTTTTGCATATACTTTGTATTTGTTTCTCTCTGTAAGTGCTGTCTAGCCTCCCCCCTACCCACCAGGTAGAGTGTAAGCTCCTTGAGGGTAAGGGTTGTTTCATTTTTCTTTTTGTTTCACCTTTGCCCAGTGCAATTCCTAACGCACAGTAGGCACTTTATAAGCGCTTTTTGAATGTTAAATGAGGAAACACAGGCAGAAAGGGATCCCTGGTCCCTAGCTTTCCTCAACCTACATTTTTTTACCCTCTATTGGCTTCTTCTCCACCTAGTGTTCTTGGGACCCTGCCCTGGGACAGCTCCCTTGTGACTCCTTCCCTAACCCCAGGCCTAGGGAGGATGGGGTAAAGGAAAAGACATTGGCCTTGGAGTCCAGGGATAGCCCTGGGCTTGAGGCCAGGCTGACATTGACTAGTTTAGTGACCTTGGGCAAGGTCATTAGCCCCTTCTGAGCCTCAATTCTCTCATCTACCTATTTAGAATTAGAAGGGACTTCAGAGACCGTGCCCCTCATTTTACAGATTAGGAAACTTGAGGTTCTAGATGTTAAAGTGATTTTTCCAAGGTTTTACAGCTAGGAAATATTCAGGATTTGAACACTATACCACTCCCTACAAACCCAGTGTTCATCCACAATACAACACTGCCTTGACCTTGTACCCTCACATGTAATAGGAATTGTGGCCCAGACCCCTGATCATCAACATATCTCTTCATCACTACAAAGAGACACTCGTGTCTTTGCCACTTGCATGCGTGTGCGTGTGTGTGCCCACACACGCACACACACAGAGTATGTTGGGAATTATTCCTATTGGTGTATCTGCCCTTGGGCTCAGTGTGTGTAGGGGTCATGTTCCATAAACACATACATTACACAAATACATATATAGATATATTTACACACATGTGTATGTGTACATATACATGTATGTATGTGTGTATGTATCTACATATATCTATATATATGTATCTGTCTATCTATATCTATCTATCTATCCCATCAGGAAGCATGAATCCAGGCTCACCTATTACCACATGGATCTTTCCCTTCACTGCCTTGGGCATGAAGGTGAGCTGGGGGAGGGCACTGTGGGAAGTCAGTACCATCCTCCTTCTATCTCTAAGCTCAGCCTCTCTCCAGGTGGGCAGGGTTGGCCAACACTCCTCCTCCTACGGGCACCTTGATGCAGCTGCCACATGGTTGGAGGAGCTTCACACCCCTCTCAGTTCGGTCATTAGTCTTCAGGAATTATCCGAGAGGCTCCTGACTCCCTAGCAGAAGTGTTACTCAATCCTCCCCCACAAGGTACTGGGGAAAGGGACTCCTCTTGTCCTTAGTGTATTTATATTAACTGCCCCCAGTTGCCTCACTCCTCAGCTATCTAAAAGAATGACCATTTAGCCATACCCTCTACCTCAGGGGACTCCCTACCCCCTCCCACCTCAGTCCAGGAGAAGTGGTGAGAGTCTATGCTAAAGCACCTTCCAACCTTGACTGTGGAAATCTCCTTACCAGAGGAAGCAGAGGGAGGCTTTGAGGCCATCCCCCCACCCTCACCCCAACTCCCACCTGCCTTCAGTCAGGAACTCACCCTGACAAAGATGAGTGTGTTGGAATCCCCAACTTGGTATTTTCCTTCAGACACTTTGATCATGGAGAATTGCACGGGGCAGGTACAGTGACTCACCAGGTTCTGCACCTGCAAGGGAAGACGGGAGGTGAGCTCCTGGAGGATTCTCTGCATTCCCCATTAGGAGCACTTCTTTAAACTCGATCTCCATCTCATTCCTTCTCTCACACCCACACGCAGGGCTGAGAAAGGAGGACGAGGACTGCAAGAGTATTGCTTACTTAAGAGATCATTTGGGACCTAAGATGGGAGCAGGAGGGAGGGGAGAGCATTCATTACCAAGTACTCTGGGAGGAGCAAGATAAATTAGAGGGTAAAATTTCCAAGGGACTTTAGAAAACCTTCATTTTTCACAGATAGAGTCTAGGAAGGGGAAATGATTTGCCTGAGGTCACACTCACACAGCAAGTGAGTGACAGAATTAGTGACTAGATCCCAGAGCTCCTGCCTTTCTGGTTCTGGGAAGCTGGAGAGATCAGTCACCCCAGCTCTGGAGCTTGGCACCTTCCCCCATGGTAGTCATATGATAGAGGAGACGGGGTGCCTGGGCAGGAAGGATTGAGGGGTGTTTGCAGTTATCCCTTCCTCCTTCCCCTGTATCCCTCACCATTTGGTCTAAGTTTTTGAAATGGCAGGCTTGCCGAGCAGGAGGAGCTGGTGGAGGAGGGTCAGGTGGGGGCAGGGCCAGCTCTTGCCGCAGTTCCTCCTCGATCTCCTCCTCCAGATGCACCAGGGTGGGAGCTGCTACCCCAAACCTCCAGGCGCGCCGTCCCAGCTCCAGCAGGCACAAAACCACATGCTTTTCATTCTTCCTACGCACCAGGTCCTCTGTCTCAAACATCAGCACCTCTGTGGGCCAGAGAGGAAGAGAGAAGAGGAGTGACCAGCTTTGTCCTCCTTTTTCCTTCCCTTCTTGGAAGAGTAAACCTTTTGGGAAAAGGGGAAATTCCTGCGGTGACCCCATTGTCAGGCTCTCAAGAGAGGGGTAGGGCTCAGCAAGACAAATGGGATCTTAAATTCCTAGAATATCAGAGTTGGGAGAGGCTTGGGAGGTCATCTTTACATCTTTATCTTGGAGATCTATTTTACAGATGGGGAAACTGAGACCCATTTCAAAGTTCAAGAGACCTCAGTGGTCATTGAACATTTAGGTCATGTTATCCCCTGGGTGAGAGGGAACAGAGCCTAGGATGGAGTGTTGGCCTTGGAGTCAGGGAAAATCTGGTTCCAAGTCTTGCCTCTGACCAATTCTGGCTGTGTAAACATGGGCAAGCTATGTAGTCTTAGAAAGTGCCATAGGCAACTCCCTAACACTGTAAATTTCAGATGTATTATATCTGCATCAGTGAAAGGGGTTTCTACACTGGGAGCTCCCCATAACAATGTAATATGTGCTCCCCCGCAACGGACACCCATCCCAAAAAACCCCTAGGAGCACAATATTCAGTTCAGCCTGAAGGCAAAGGACTAGACAGAATGAGTTCCACTTGACAGAAAGGATGGAAATAGCAGATTACCTAAAAGATTGGCATTAGAAGAGTAGCTGTAGGGCTATATCAAGAAAAGGGTTAACCTCTCATGGTGCCCTCTTCATCCCAGCTTTTCACATTCTCAAATTTTTTCAATTCAATTCAACAAATGACTGTTTGCTGTTAGCATCCTTTTAACAGCACCTAGAAGGTGCTGTTAAGTGTCTTCTAAGTGTAAGACACCAACATATAGTGAATGGAAAGTTGGGGGTCAGTCGGGAAGGCTTAGATTCAAGCTCTCTGACACATACTGGCTGTGTGACCCTAGGCAAATCACTTAAACTCTCAGTACCCCAGATAATAGAGACATAAATGATAGAATCAGAGATGTAAAATGGGAAGAAGCCTCAGAGATCATCTGGTCCAACCCTTTAATTTTGTAGATGTGGAAACTGAGACCCAGGTAGATAAGTGCCTTGCATAATGTTTCACAGGTAATAAACATCAGGGGCAGGATCTGAACCAGGTCCTCTGTGCTCTTTCCACAGTACCACACCTTCCTGATTGGTAAAGGGAATTTCCTCACTGGGAATTTCCCATGTCCATGAAATCACAGATCCAGCACCTCTTGAAATAAATACATGAATAAACAAACAAGTAAATAAATAAATAGATTAACAAATGGATGGATGAAAAAGTAGATATAAAGATGAATAGATAAATTAATGAATAAACAAGTTGATAATGTAAATGAATAGATAGAAATACAGATAGACAGGAATAAACAAATAGGCAGATAGATGGATAGATAGGCAGGCTAGATAGGTAAATTCATAAATAGACAGAGACAGACAGACAGGCATATAAATGGAGACAGACAGACAGATGGATGTATGAGACACTGCTAAGCACCGAGGTTACAAACATGAAACTAAGGACAGCTCCTGCCCTCAGGGGCCTTCCAGGAAATAGTTGCTTCCTTTCTTTCCTCCCACTTTTGAAACAGTAGCAAGAGTATGAGGAAGAGGGACATGGGTATTAGGTATGGGTGATTTATTACAATTTCGCACTGACAGAGCCCCAAGAGGAGAATGGGGATCCTTGGATTGGAGCCTACTTTGGCTTGCTCTGTGCGAGTTTTTCTGGAGCTGATGGAGCAGCAAGGGCTTAAGTCCTTGGAGATAATCTGCCTTGGGGTCTGACCTCCTGGGTTGGGCTATGTTGACTGTTAGGAGTTCATGATATCTAACACTTTTGAAAGAGGCAGTGACATTCAATGGGTGCAAGGTAGGGCAGAGACCTTGCAATCATTTTAATTTTTTTTTTATTTATTGCTTCCTATGAGATAAAGGAACGAAGGCCCAGAGGGATGAACTATCTTCCCAATGGTCATATAGCTAGTTAATTGCTAGAAACCAAGCCTCTCAGCTACCAGTCTGGTGCTCTTTATATAATACTGACATCTGTAACACCACTTTGAGCTTTGCAAGGGGCTTTTCACATCTCAACCACTGAGATAGGCAGGGTAGAATATTATTATTCCCATTTTATAGATGAGGAAACTGAGGTTGTGAGAAATTAAGTGACTTGCCTAGTAATTGTTTGAGGTAGGATTTGAACTCTTCTTAACAAGTTCAGCTCTTGTTAAAAAGAAAAAAACAGGCAAGTTAGTTCTTTCTAACAAGTTCAGTACTCTACCCACTATGACACCTAGTTTCCTCTAGCTGAGCTAGAACCCAGGTCTCCCAGGTACCAGCCCCATGCTTTTCCCACTATCCTACTTTGGCCCCCAAAGAAGCCTTGTCTCAGGATGGGTCCTGAAGAGGTATTTACCTTTGATGCCCATCTCCTTCCGGCACCATTGGATGAAGTTGGAGACATTGTCCCGAGCCTGGAAGGTACCTGGCTGGGCTGCCCCATTGCAGCAAACCCCAGACCTGGGCAGCCAGATTTTCTGGGCCAAAGCTGGATATTGGGCCAGGAAGTCCTGGGCAGCTTGAGTGACTGCATTGGCATGTTGGCACAACAGCTGGCCCGTCTCCAGCATCTCCAGGAAGTTGGCCGTATCAATATCCAGCTCGTAGAGATTCCTAAGCCAGTCAGCCAGGTCCTCTTTCATCGCCTCCAGGTACTGCTCACTGGACTTAAAGGGTCGAATACTGCAGATTGGGGGATCTGGGAGTCCAGGCATTGTCCTGCCACTGGGCTGGGACCTGGAGGGGCTGCTGGCAAGCGACCTTCCACTCATCTTCCAAGTCTTGACCTATGTATGGGTCAGACCTAATGCTACGTCCTCTCCCTTGGTTCCTGATCTATCAACCCAAGCCTGGGGTCTTTTTCCTTCCCTGTGTTCCTTCAACCTGGTGATCCCTGGGGCACTGTGACTTAGGCTGACCAAGCTGGGAGATTTCCTTCTGAGCTGCTTCTATGCTGATCCTGGCCTCTCTGATCCATCTCTCCCTCTCTGCCCACCCCCTCAGAAGTTCATTCTCCCCATTCTGCTCACTCTTCAGGATCCATCTCTATGGCAAAACTAGTTCCAACTCCACCTCCCTCCCCCCCCACCCACTGGATTCCTGAATTCCTGAACCTTCCCTCTATCTCTGCCTTCCCCACTTAGTTAACTGGTAACTACCTCACTCTTCTGGCTGCTGAGGCCATCCTGAGGACCTGCTACCACCATAAAGGGACAGGTTGGGGGAGGTTGCCTCTCTTTCCTTCCCTAGGAGCTGCACTGCTCAATTAAACCCTCCTTCTCTCCCCCCCATCCACCCCCAATACTACCCAATGTGGCTGGATCATTCCTGCTGGGCTTTGCCTCAGAGTTCTCTCCTCTCCTAGGTGACAGGGGCTGCTACAAACACTCCCTATTAACCCCTTCAGGGTAGCCACTGGCAGGCTCTGGCTGGCCTTGCTCCCTGGATTGGGTTACAGCCAGAAGAGAGTGAGACCTGGGACACTCACCCCCTCTTCTGGGATACATGTAAGTAAATTTCATCTGCTAGACTGTTGTTTTTTTTTTTTTCTGACTTGTGTCAAAAAGGCCTGGCATGAGGAGAGAGGGGGAGAGGTTGGAAAGGGAAGAAACTCAAGGGGTGAAGCAGGGCCTGAGAGGATTTCTGTAGGTAACATATCATCTCTTCATCTTTATGCCTCTTTGCCCAGCTAGCTATGTCTCTGAATGTCTCTGTCTGGCTATTTGTCTGTCTCTGAATGTCTCTGCCTGGCTATTTGTCTGTCTCTGTCTGTCTCCACCTGGCTATTTGTCTGTCTCTGAATGTCTCTGCCTGGCTATTTGTCTCTGTCTCTCTCAGCTGGTCACTCTTCACCAAGTCTGTTTTATTTTAAAAAAAACAAAACTAGAATTTCTCCCTCCCCCCACATCCCCTCCTCCTTTCTGCCTATTCAGATTGTATGTGTTCCTCTTTCCAGACCCAACTCAGGACCCCATACCCTTTGGGGCAGATTAACCCTTCCCTGAGTCTCCTACCCTGCTTCCTCTGAATATATAGCAGGTCTATATAAAGGTCTATGCTGGGCAGGACTCTCTTAACGTCTGCCTCATATTTCCAGAGCTTCAGGCTCTGGGAGAGGAGAGGATAAGCAGCTACTGACCCCAATACTCCCACTGTGAGAATCACCACTGGTCTATTCCACTTGGGTAGTGCAAGTGACTCCCAGCTCTCTCTACACTCTTTCTTTCTAGAATAGGACTAGTTCACTCACCCCATCTATGCCCATGATGGTTGGTTAGGGTGATTCTTCAAAAGGGTGGCATATTGCTGCAACTCACTCTCGGGGTCCCAGGGGGTAGCCTTGGTATTGAGGGAGACATATTTTGACTACTCATGACTGTCCCCACTGGTATGCTTCCCACTTAAACAAATCACCCAAGGTGACACCATGAACTTTAAATTAGGAAACATTTGCAAATAAAAGGCAAAACTATAATAATCATAAGTTTTTCCATAAACCTGTTCACACTCTACCACCAAGGCACATAGTGTTCATAGGAGACAGCACAAACTTACAGAAACATAGCATGAGCAGAAAAACCCATGTGTCTGGGTTTGTGCCTCTGGACTAGAGTCCCTGATGTCTTTGTTTCTTTAAGGAAGGGTCTGTATCCTTTGTCACCTGCCAGGCCTTATTGCTTCTCTTTCTCGGCTTCTCCATTCTGTTGCTGATGTAGCGTTAAGGTATTGTTTTTTTTTTAAGTAAACAGAAATCTTAAGCCTGGGGTGTGCAGAACTTCCCAAGCCTTCTTCCTTGGCTTGGTGCTGGGGCAACATTATACTCTTTCAAAGAAAATCAGTTCTGCATGTGCAATGCTAATCAGGTTAACCCTCTGGACTGTGAGATGTTTTCCCCCTTTTGAACCATGGAGGTCAGTGAAGGACAAGGTAGGCAAGCCTCTCCTCTCTCAAGCAGTTAATGGTGCTGGAGAGAAAGACCTACCCCCAGGTAGTGTTACAAACAGCAGGGGATTCTGCTGTCTCCAATCAGCTCCCAGTATCACAGCCTTCCTCTATTCAGATTAGCTCCCTACATCAACTGCTAAGTCTCTTTCCAGTCAGCTTGTCTCAAATGGGCTCAGCTCAAAGCAACTGCTATTATTTTCTGTTTCTGCTATATATATATTTTTACTTCTGTTGACTATTTTAACTCTGTGGGCTTTTATTTTCTGCATTCTGTATGCGGCTTCTAATGGGACCTCATGGGTCAGTCAACCTATTACATATAAATTAGCTTCTGGAAATCAATGAACTGTAACCATCTTTACCATCTTTCATTAATTTTGCCTCTGACGGATTACTTTGCTCTCAGGTACTCTCAGAACTGTCTGTGTCTCTCATCAAGCTGCTTTTTCTCTGTGTTCATCACAAGAATATCCTTTTTCTGTCCCTTTCAGCAAAAAAAAAAGGTTTACATAAGAAAGGGGCACTACCTTATACATATATTACTAGTTATCTTTTCACTCACTTCAGGGGAAACCTGGGTCCAAATCCTATATCTGGAAAAGGACTTACATGTACAAAAATTTTTTTATAGCCACACTTTTTGTAGTGGCAAAGAACTGGAAACCAAGAGGTGTCCATCAATTATGGAATTGCATATAAATGTTAAAAAGTGATGGTATATAGATGTAAAGGAATGCTATTGTACTATAAAATAGGATGAAAGAGATGGTTTCAGAGAAAGTTGGTAAGACTTGTATGAACCAATGCAGAGTGAAGTGAGCAGAACCAGAACAATTTATATGATAACAATGATATTGTGAAGATGTACAACTCTGAAACTCTGATTAATGCATTGACCAACCATTATTCCAGAGGACTCATTATGAATCATGTTACCCAACTCCTGGCAGAGAAGTGATGGACCCAAGATACTGAATGAGCTCTGACATTGACTAGCTGTGTGACCATGCTCAAATTACTCAGATGCTCTGTGCCTCAGTTTCTTCAGCTGTAAAATGGAGATACTAATAACTCTAGTACCAACCTGACTGAATTGTTGTTTTTAGGGTCAGAGGAAGTCATGTCAGTGAGTGGATTTTGCTCACTAAAAGGCTCTGTAGATGTCAGTAGTTGTTGCTATTATTTTTGTTACAAATAGGATCCCCAGTCAAAAGCTGGGGCCAGGCTGGAGACGGACAGTCTGAGGTCAGGTGCTGTGTCCACCATCATGGTGGAATAAGTGCTACATTTACAATGGCCCAGCAGGGCAGATCTGCAGAAGAGCCACCCATTGTTCTGGAAACCTTCCTGTAGGTCTAGTTCCATTTCCTGGGTATCAGTGCAACCTCTGCGTCTCTGGCCATCATCACAAGCTCTTGCTATTTGACTGACTCACACCCTTTTCTGATCATACATTTCCTCGATGCTGTCTGTTAGGCCATGACTTGTATGTAGGTCCTCGATGGAAATATTCTGCCACATGCCATGAAGCAACAAACAGGGAAAAGAGCACTGGCTGTAGAGTCAAAGGTTCTGAGCTCAAGTTGTTCTTCCGACACTAATTCTTAACTCTCCTGGGCCTTAGTTCTTTCATCTGTAAAATGCAAAGGTGGGACGGGATGTCCTCTGAGGTCCCTTGCTGCTCTAGAGCTGTGATCTTTTACTCTTTGCATCCCCCACAACTTTGATTCTTCTGATGGTGACATTCCAGGACCTGCAGTGGTACAGCATCCCCAAGGGAACAATGGAGAGCCGTCAGTCAGGAAGCCCTGACTAAATGCCTCTCACATGCTAGGCATTGTGCTAAGTGCTAGGGATACACAGAAAGTCCAAAGACAGTCCCTGGCTTTAAGGAGCTCCCAGTCATTATTGGGTGTTAGCAGCAGGAGGAGCTTAGAATGATGGGCCTGGCAAATAGACTGTGGATCTGTTATCTCAATACCAGCCTCACTAAGACCAGAAAGGCTCATCAGCAATAAGAACAGGTGTAAGTGATGGGTGAGTCCGTGTGCCCCATTAGTGTTCACACAATGTCCTGCATCCTAAAGGAATGCCCCCATAACATTGGGTAGACCAATTTCAGAGGAGTGGTGGGAATTCATGGACAACAGTCACACAGGATTAGAGAATGTGGATGTATTGTGATCTATCCTGTGTAAGAAAAAAAAGTCCCTGTCTCTGAAACCAAAGGTCCTTTGAATGATTTACTATGTGGTAAAGGGGTTGTGATTTGTATCAGACAAAGCTGGGATGATAGGGTTATATATTTAGAATTGGAAGGAACTTCAGAGTAGTCCAACACCATTTTTTTTTAAGTTAGGCAATGGGGTTAAGTGACTTGCCCAGGGTCACACAACTAGTAAGTGTTATGTGTCTGAGGTCGGATTTGAATCCAGGTCCTCCTGACTCCAGGGCCGGTGCTTTATCCACTGCGCCACCTAGCTGCCCCTCAACACCTTCATTTTTACAGATGAGGAAACTGAGGGTCAGGCAGGTAGAAGAACTGCTGGTTCACAGAAGAGCCAGAATTTGAACTCAGGTCCTATGGCTCTAAATCCAGTACTTTTTCCATGATGCCATGCCACCCACTCACACCCCCCCAATCCTTAGAGGCATAGATTAAATACATAACTGAACTAGCTAATTTTATTAATGGAATAAGGAAGCAACCATGAGAGGAATTATGGATCTGATTCATTTCTATGGAAATTAGAAGAAACATGGAGGCCATAGCAATGTTCTTAGTTCCTGCTGGAAAATGAAATACTGAGCAGAAAGTCAGCGATTGCGGGAAGGTGTTGTGTCTGTTATGTTGCCTGTGTGAAAGTGTTCTGTGAAAATCACCAAGTTACTGAGTTGCCAGGAAATGGATAAAAGGCTGGTGACCACAGAAAGAATACCCCGCTGAGAATAACGCTAGGCAAAGACTCCACCCAGCTTGAGACTGCCACAGATGGAGGTCTGAGGCAGTAAAGAAAAGGAACATCACAAGGAGGAGGAGGAGACAAAAGCTGGGGATTGTCCCAGGCTTAGGGACAGCTTAGCAGAAGAGAAAAAGCACTGGAGTTCATCAAAGGGATCTTTGAGCCAAAGCCAAATAGAATTTTTTGAATAGAAAGGATCCCATGAAATGGGCTTGGGGGAGCATTCTGCAGTAAAAGATTGCATCCCACAAATTCACCGGGGAGGGGCACATAATACTCCAAGGCTCTACACTCATTGACTCATGTGTCTTAACTTCACTGAAAAATCCCCATTTCCTCTTAATTCCTGGCAGTGGTTGACAAAACTCCTCAGCCTCAAGTTTGCAGTTAAGGAAAAAGTTTAATTAATTAAATTAGTAAAAAAAAAAAAGTGTGATAGAAAGCAAGCAGTAGATGCCGGCATCATGGAGCACAAACAACATTTCCCACCATTTCCCAACTCCAAATGGAATTTGTTTTTGATCTCTTCACCCTCCTGAATGAGAACATGAAATCAGAAGGTCTGCCTGTTTAATATTCACCACCATAGGTGCTGGGATGGAAGGGAGAGGGATAGCACCCACTCATCATGATACTTGGATGGACACTAGCCATCCATGGGATGACTACCAGCAGTCCAGCAATGCCTAAGGGCCAGGCTGGGCTTTTTGAAATGGAATATTGCTGCTTGGATGAACAGGAAAGCCCATCGTGGGCTCTGCACGCTTCTGGCTCTTCCTAGCAAGATGACAGTGAAGGAATTTGTCTCCTGCAATGCCTTGAACTGTCCTCTTGGAATCACAGTAGCTGTCAGAATGAGGAGGAAGAAGGAAAATATTCCCAAAGTTTTCCACCAGTGCAAGTGAAGGCAAGCTGCAGGAATTAGTTAGTCATGGTTTCTGCAACATCCTCAATTGCCACTTTTCTCTCTGTCTTGTCTCCTTCAAAACTCCTAGCTCATTGTGTTTCCACCTTACATGTGTGGTCAAAACAATCCAGGCCACTGCCAGAGTCAGTTGGAAATCGTTTCAGTATTGATAGTCCCAATGGAAGAACTATCTCCGAAGTTCCAGGGCTATGCCTCAAAGAGGTCCTTTGTCTATTCCACTAGTAGAAGGCTTTGCAACACCAAGCAGGGAGAAGTTGGATCTCCGAGGAGAGCTCACCTGTCTAATAACCATTGGTTGTGCGTGCATGTGTGACTGAATGACTAAATGATTAATTGTCTGGGTAAGTTTGGGTGAATGTGTGAATGCATTCCTATTGGAGCTGATGGAACTTCAAAAGTAATAGATTCTTTATGAATAAATCTTTAAACAGAAGAATCTCATGTCTGGTGATGATCACTATCTTTTTTTTTTTTTTAGGATAGGCAATGGGGTTAAGTGACTTGCCCAGGGTCACACAAGCTAGTAAATGATGATCACTATCTTCCTTGGTTTTTGCATGTTGAACATCTTTGCCTAATTGGGGGGCAACAATACTAAAGTGATGCTCATTTGCTTTGGGGCCCTCACAACTTGAAAAGTATATGGAGAAGAAATGGATGTGGAGGAAGAGTCCAAAGAAGGAACGAAGGCCCAGCAACAAGAGAGAAACAGAGGAAGGGGAAAGGAGGGGAGAACTGAGCCCAAGAGGGAAATCAGGACAGAGGGAAGAACAGGAACTATTCCTGGACGTTTTGGTCATAAGAAGCAACCCTGAGACAGAAAAGGAGGTGACTTTTCTCCCTCTGCCTTGTTCCTCTCCCCATACCTTTAATATGATATTTCACATAAATGTGTGTGTTTGAATGTATATGTGTAGCTCTCTCTCTCTCATCTATCATCTGCCCAGCTGTTTCCAACCCAACACACATTTATTAAGCACCTACTTTGTACCAGGGACTCTACTAGGTGCTGGGGTCATGAAGACATATAGTCCCCATCCCCTTAGGTCTAGAACTGTGCCCCAAACAGACCCTTTCTCTCCTCCATGCTCTCATTCTATTGTTTATAAGTCTGTTCTTTCATATCACCCATCCAATCAGCATATAAGAGACAGTACATACAGGATGTTTCAAAAGTCTTTTGTGCAGTTTTAAGCTTTAATGGTTTAAAACTGTGCTAACATTAGGGAAACTCCATATATGTGCCTCCCCCATACAGTTGTTGGTTTTTCCATACTTGTTTCCCTCGGTGTCTGTTGGAAACAACAGATGGAGTTGCCCTAGGACAGGGATTCTGTGTGTGTGTGTGTGTGTGTGTGTGTGTGTGTGTGTCCGTCTGTCCATCTGTCTTTCCTTAGCCTGGGAGCTTCCTGAAAGTGAGGACAGCACCCAGATCACCCAGTCCACAGGTGAACCTGTTGGAAGATCTTTTCCCTTTCCCCTTAAGCTCCACACTTTTGTTTAGCCACTGATTAGACCGGGCTTGTGTCCTCTTCTTATTCAGGTGCTCACATTCTCCTTCATTTGGGAACGTTTCCCTTCCAGGAGAAGAAAACGAAGGGGCACAATTCGGAGGGATAGGGAGAGAACGGTAGGAAAAAGGTGGGAAGTAGGGAGAGGAAGGGAACTAAGAGGACCCTGGGGCATGAGGTTTCCAGGCACCCAGAAAAAGGAGGCCCTTCCTAGTCTAAGGCTCTAGGGAGGGGGAGGTTCTAACTCCATTGTTTGTGACCCAATAGTACCTGTGGTGATGAAATCAAGACATGCAGGGATGAGGGAAGTCCTTGTCACTCCCACTCTCTAGTATGGGACAGGGAACATGCCTGAAGTACAGTAAGGAGCGTGGGGAGGAATTCCCCAAGTGGCACAGAAATAGCTAAAGAATGGATAAGCGGGGCAACGGTGAGTGGGGCAGGAGGGCAATGGGGAAGAAGTGAACAGGGCCCTCCTTGACACACACAGTTGTATTTCCTATACAAACTTGGGTTAGAGGGCTGTCACCATGGCAACCATACTCTCAAGACACCTTTCAGTTACCCTACTTGTGGACTGTTCACAGCAAATTTCTCATCCCAGGTTAACCGAACCCAGACAGGCAACAGATGCTCATATCCCTTTCACTTTCCATCACTCCCTGGAGCCAAAGAGAATAAGGGGGAAAACTTTCTGAGGGAGGGGGAAGAGTACCTCATCCTGCCTTCCAAGACTACAGAAAACGGTGGAGCGTCATGATAGGATCTATGAATATAAGAGATGATTCTTATAAGATGAAAGGTGAATTGGAGAAGGAAGTGGAGGCAGGAAGACCTATTAGGAGACTATTCTAATAACTGACCAGTAATAAGGCTTGGGGCAGCTAGGTAGTTCAATACATAGAGTGTCAGGCCTGGAGTCAGGTAGACTTGAGTTCGAACCTTGCCTCAGACACTTACTAGCTGTGTGACCCTGGGCAAGTCACTTAACTCTATCTGCCTCAGTTCCCTCATCTGTAAAATTAGCTGGAGAAGGAAATGGCAAACCACTCCAGTATCTTTGCCAAAAAAAAAAACCCCAACCCAAATGGGTCACAGAGTCAGGCTTGACTGAAATGACTGAGCAATAATAACACAAAGGAAGCCTTGTATAATTGTGGTGGCAGTGAGCATAGGAAGGAAAGGGACAGATGTTACAGACTCTGTGTGTGTGCGTGTGTGTGCGGATGTGGAAAGGTTTATCTATCCATCCTTCTATTCTTGCAGATAATGGGCAATTGGCAACTTACTGGCTATGTACAAGTCTACTTAACCTCTCTGAACCTCAGTTTCCTTATCTGTAAGATAAGAGTGTTGAAGATCCCTCTCAGCTCTGAATCTCTAGTCCTACAAATGTGTCTGGGGCTCACCAGCAGTTCTTGGGACTTTGTAAGGTCTACACTAAGTGGACAGAGGTGAAATCCCTGTGATTTCTTCCTCTGAATTAAAATATCTCAAAAATAGGATACATTCATTACCCAGAGCTTCTCACTTGACTTGTGGTCATGATAGAAATCATGAGTTCTTGTAGTGTCTGAAATCTTCATGGAGAAAAGCTAGGCTAAGGGTGAAATAGTACTGAGGTTTCCCCTTTCCTACTTCCTAGGCCTGAAGATCCCTCTGTGGAAAAAGGAGCCAGGGGAACTCCTGGATGGAGAGGCGGAAGAGAGTGATGATGAAGAAAAGGAGGATTCAGATGAGGCAGAGAAAACTTCACAGAAGGAAGGAGAGTACTGGGAATCTGGGCAAGAGCTTCAGGATGGCAACGGGAAAGACAAGGGCTCAGTGTCTTACTGCCCACTCCACCAAGAGTCCAGCTTGCCTGAGGTGTCAGACCTGAGGCACTCCGAGAGTGGATTCTGGACCTGGCTCAGTCCCCTCATCCTCCTATCCAACCTGGCTTTCCCCGTGGACAGGTGCTTAGAACAGGGAGCCTGGTCTCCTAATTATTCTTCCTCTTTCTGGAGATATCTGAGAGGGCTGGGCTATTGGTGAGAAAGGAATCAGATACTCCTCGGTTTCTCCATAGTGCTGAAAATCCAAAGGATACTACCAGTCTTGGGAAACGGTAGGCTTCTGTGGGGTGGGGTGGGGGATGTGGTGGGTGTCCTACTTATAGGATCATAAGTTTGAATCTCTTCATGATATAGGGTAGCTATATGAAAATAGGGGTGGTGGTGGTAGAAGGAGGAATCTCTCCTTTTAAGTACCTTAGCTCAGCAAGGCCCAGAGGAGCAGGGTTCTGGTGTTGGCCTGAACAAGGCAATGCTGACCCTCACCTCTCTCCATCCCGAAATCACTAGGAAGAGGATCCTGCCAGGGGAGGTGTGCCTACTGGAGAAGCAGAGGTCTAATGAAGGGCCCTGTTCCCGCTGTGAGATTCTTTTCTGCAGGAAATGCGAGACTCTGCATTGTGACCCTCACTATGTCGAACACTGCATCCTGGACCACTGGGAGGGTGGTGAGTCTCCTGGGAATTAGATACCAGGTGGAAGGAGTAGGGCCATGTCAGGTGGTGCCCAAGCCCTCATCTGTAAGAGGTAGAATGGTATAGTGAATAAAGCATCAGACTTGGAGGCAGAGGGGACTCAGGTTCAAATCATCCCTCACACTAGCTATTTGGCCCTGGGAAAATCATATCTGGGCCTCAGTTTTCCCACCTGTAAAATGAGGAAGCTGGATTTTATAGCCACTAAATCAGCTCTAAATCCATGGTCCTATTATCTCTCATGTTTAAACTGCCATATCCAGCACTTAGACACCATCCCTTAGCTCCTAAATGAAACATACTCTATTCCCCGAACTTAGTTATCCTTTTTGATACAAGGTGTCTTTGATATGACCACATGTGAGGCAATGAACCCTTATTCCTGACACTTAGACCCCACCTGTGATGCTCAGGTCATATGGGATTTGTCAAGCCTGCATCCCTATATCTTCTATCCCGTTTCTCTACTTGGCATTTTGACCCCCTGGGTTGGGGACACTTAGCATGCTTCAGGTGAAGGATCAGAAGAAATCCTGGCCACAATTCAAAAATCCCTAGCTGCCACCCCAACCCATAATACTCAGTCTTCCCATAATCACAGCCTCATTGCCCACCGCTATCTCCAAGCTCTCCTGTTTGACCCTTCTCTCCCTTGTAATAATCTCTTGGCCATTTCAGGTGTTTCAGATCCAGAAGAATTTGAGGTAGAACGAATAAGCCCTTCCCAGGAGCCAATTTTGTTTATGATGTCTCCCCTCCCGGAAGATATTTAGTAAAAGCCTCAGCGCATCAAACAATTCAGTGACAGGGAGAGAGAGAGAGAGAGAGAGAGAGAGAGAGAGAGAGAGAGAGAGAGAGAGAGAGAGAGAGAGAGAGAGAGAGAGAGAGTGTGTGTGTGTGTGTGTGTTTGTGTACATGTGCATGCAAATAGGGCGCTGTTGGATTCCTAGCTCTGCTTGGGAGAGGGCAAGGGGAGACCAGAGGGTTGCCTCTTTTCTGAGTTTTCTCCAAGGTTTGATCTTTAAGCTAATCTGATTTGTCCCTTGAAAGTCAAGTTATGAGTCAGTGTCCAGGGAACTCAGTCCACATCTCACTAAGCCTTGAACCAAAGCCACCTCCGATGGATTCCCATCCCCACCTCAGTAACTAGGCATGTGCCCCAGCTACCTCCTGCCCCGCCTTCTGGTACCAAAATCTATACCAGGATAAAGGGAATATTCCCTTTTATACACAGTGAGAAAATGAGGCAAAGCAAAGCAAATTCTAGTGGTGGGAATGAAACCCAAGTCTTATTTCTTGAAACAACGGTCTGCCCAGTAGGTCCCTCTCCCCTACCTGGGGATTGTCTGCAAAGGGGAAAACTTGGCAATATCAGTAGGCAGACCCAGAGCTTGGGGATAGACATTAGAAAAGGGAGGGGGAATGGTATCAGCAGCTTAACTGCAGGCCCTACACTGGTGGCTGGGGGCAGGGTTAGTATTGGGTGGAGAATCAGCCTCCTCTACTAAGAATCTTAGCTATTTCTGGGGCCTAGGACTTAAGAAATGAGCTCTGTGTGTGTGTGCACACGCGAGTGTGCGCGCCACGCCCCGCATGCGTGTCTTAGACAATGCTGCTATTGTGATTGACAACAGGGGCCAAAGGGAAAGGTGCCCAGCTGACCCTGCATCACGGAGAGATTTTAGTCTTCTACCCTTGAAGTTTGCCCTGCCTTAGAGGGACCAGTGGCCTGACCCTGCTGCTGTTACTTCCCCATGGACCCTTCTAGGGCTGTTTAGCATGGGGTTGGGGAGCAATATTTTTCTAAATCTCGAATAGTCATCCTTTTCTCTTTCCCTCTCCAACTCGGGCTCCTTTCCTCTCCTCTCTCTTTATTCAGGATACATCCATTACAATCGTGTCCACTGGGGCAGCGTCATGCCCTGTTCCTTCCGTTTTCCTTGACTTTCCTTTTGGACACTTTAGCTGCAGAGTGGTCAATCCAGGGCCCTCTTCTCACTCCAAGAAAACCCCACCTAGTTCCTACTGAGGAGTTGGGCACCACGATGATTTTCTACAATAGACTCCCTCTCCATGGCAGAGGAATATGATGCTGGGCATGAGGGTCCTGATTGATTATACAAGAAGCTCAGAACAGAGCACCCCCAGAGTTGGCGTCCCAGCAGCCCATCCATGGAAGCTCTTCAACCCACCGGCCTGTTGCTACTACCTTCAGTGAGATCTGGTCAAAACGCCAGTAGCGATCATCCTGGAAGAAGAAGATGGAGCCTTCAGGCCCAGGCAGTGCCCCTTGGATCTCTGAGGGGACACCATCCCAGTCCTTTAAGCCTCGGGGATAGTAGGGTTCAATCTGTAGCCCTCCATCAGCCAGTACATAGTAGCGAGGACCCTTGAAAAGCACAATGCGGTGTAGGGGTGGGAAGAAGAAGGCTGTATCTGGGTGGCGAGGGAGTCCTCCTGCTCTGCATAGTTGGGGGTAACCTTTCAGTAACCTCGATCCCCGGAACCTCCAACATCGACTCCCTGTGGGAACAGAGAGATAGAACCAGGAGGGCAGAACTAGTATGGGCAGTGGGGCAAGAAAAAAGGATGGGGAGGCAAAACATGGGATAGAAATGGAGGAAGGTCACTTTTAGCAGCTGGGATAGGGATGGGAGAGGAGAATGGTGGCAGAGAAAAGAACCATTGGGTCTATGTTATGGGGAACTATGCATCCCTACTCCCATCCTATTCCGGGCTTCCTGGATATTAGAGGGAGCTAAGAACTAATTCTAAAAATTGGAAGGATTAAAGGGAGACCAGTCAGTGCTATGAAAATAGTGCTGGAGTCTGGTCATAGGACCTGGGATCAGTAAATCACATTTTTTTTTTGGCTTTTTGGTGAGGCAATCAAGGTTAAATGACTTGCCCAGGGTCACACAACTAGTAAGTATCAAGTGTCTGAGGTCGCATTTGAACTCAGGTCCTCCTGACTCCAAGGCCGGAGCTGTATCCACTGTGCCACCTAGCTGCCCCTAAATCACAGATTTATTTAGTGTCTACCATATCCCAGCCAATGTGCTAGGTCCTGGGTTTGCAGAGTCAGAATGAAACACTTCCTGCCTTCAAGGAAGCTTATGCTCCATACCCTTACATAAAATGCACAAAATAGACAGCCATTTTTATTTTTGGAAGGGAGTGGAACTCATGGTTGGGGGATCGGGAACGACCTCAAGAAGATGGCCCTTAAACTAAGCTCTGAAGGATACTGGGAATTCTAAGCTGTGGAGGAAGGAAGAAATGCATTCCAGACACGGAGAACAGAGTGTTGGAGGAATTGCAAGAAGGCTAATGTGAATGGACTACAGATAATTAAATGGGTGGTTAGGTGATGCATCTGATAGAGTACCCTGCCACAGAGTCAGGAAGACCTGAGTTCAAATCCAGCCTCACATACTTACCAGCAGTGTGACCCTGGGCAAGTCACTTAACCTGTTTGCCTCAATTTTCCCATCTGAAAAATGAGCTGCAGAAGGAAATGGCAAACCACTCCAGTATCTTTGCCAAGAAAACTCCAAATGGGGTCCCGAAGAGTTGGATGCAACTAACTGACTAAACAACAAGGTAAAATAAGGCTGGGAAGGTAGGTGGGAGCTGGGTTGTGAAAAGCTTTAAGTGCCAAATTGGGAGCTTACTCAGCCAACACAGCCCCATTCCGTCTTGAGCCCGAAAGATGGAAAATTCTTGCTTTTACTTCTGCCCTACACACACACACACACACACACACACACACACAGAGTTCTAAGGCTAGAAGGGGTCTCAGAAGCCATTTAGTCCAATTTTTCACATTACAGAAGAAGCTGATGATGTGACTTGCCCAAGGTCACACAGTGAGCGAGCATCAGAGAAAGTTCCTACATCGGTGCCCAGTCTCTAACTCTAGAGTTCTCTTCTTACTGCTCCATGTCTCTATGGAGCTCAGACCCACTTGGAAGCCTTGAGTAGGCAGCAGATGGGGGTTCCTGACCCCTTATCCCCCTACCCCCACCCGTTCCCCACCTCTAGTCTGTACCTTTGAAGAAGTAGAAGTCTCCATCATCCTGGGACACAACAGCTGCCTCAATGTTGGGGGGCAGACCGGGCCATTTCTCCTGCAGCAGTTGCGGTTTCGAAGCATTGCCATCAGCCCCTACCTCCCAGAAATTGCTTCCTTTAAAGATGTAGACTCGATGGTCCTTGTCTGCTCCCCATCCCCCCCAAAAAAAAAGATAGAGGAAAAAGATGGAGGAAAGGTTACTTAGGCCCTTCTCTCCTCTGTCGTCCCCACCCCGAATCCTTAAAGGTGCTGTGGTGGAGATCCATCATCACTGCTTCCATTGCTACCTTACATAGAGGCCAAGAGAAGACAAAATCCCAGGGGGTGGTTACATAACGTGAGCAACATCGGCTTGTACTTTGGAATCATTCAGGCAAGTGGGGCCAAATTACCAAACCCAGATTCCCTTCCCAAGACCCAAGTCCTGGGAGTCCCTAGACATTTGGTAGAAGGGTTGGGTGGGATGAGCTTGAGGCTCGGAGCTGAGGATCAGAGTGAAAAAAAATGGCATGAGAAGGATAAAAGGGTCATAGAATCACAACTGGAAGAGACCTCCCTTGGAGGCCAGCTGGTCCAACCCATTTTACAGATGAGGAAACTGAGGCTCAGAAAGGTTAAGACGCTTGTCTGAGGTCACATGAACAGAGACGGAATTTGAACTCAGGTCTCCTAATTACTGAATCTAGTGCCCTTTCTCCAATACCAGGATGGAAGTGGGGGAGGGGCCTTGGGATGCCCGAGGATATAAGGGCAGAGTGTCATCTCACCTGCTGTGATGGTGTCAAAAAAAGAGTGGCAGTAATAGGGTCCTCTCACTCCAGAGGTCCTGTCCCAGGTCCTGGGGGGGTCCCAGTCCTCAAAATTGGTGAAGAGCTTCCCAGGTAGCTGCTCAGTCACCGAGCCCCCCAGGGGCTGTCCTACAGCAATAGAGAAAAGAAAGGCTAATGCTGGGGCTCTGGTTATGCCAGGCTGGATTCACTGTCTAATGTGAGCAGGAAGAGGAAGGAGGGCAGGACAAGGCTGTAATTGTTTCTGGATTTGATGGGGTCAATCACAGCAGTGGTGGACAGAATGCTGGACAAAGTCAAGAAAACAGTTTGAATTCTGACTTTTCCATCTGTGTGACTCTGGACAAGTCACTTAATCTCAGCAATCCTCAATTTGCCCTGTAAAATGAGGGGGTCAGATGAGATGACCTTTAAGGCTCCTTCTAGCCTTAAATCTGTAATTTGAATCGAAACGACAGTAGAAAACCCTGTCCTTTGGGGAGATCCCATACAACAGGGTCACAAATTATAGATTTAGAGCTGGAAGGGACCTTAGAGGTCCTACCCCTTTACTTTACAGAGGAAGTGAAGTGACTGACTTGTCCAAGGTAACACAGGTAGGAAGAGGCAGAACCAGGATTTGAACCCATGTTTTCTGACTCCAAATCCAGAAACTGGCTGCTAAGGGTGAGATATGCCAGGGTCAGGGAAGAACAGAGAGGTCTTTCCAGAGATCACAGGTACAATCAAGGAGAGTTGGGACAGGACCCCCCCCCCCAATCTCCCATGGTAGGCTGATAGGAAGCATTAGATTGAGAAGGGTAGCAGACAAGAGAGAGTATAAGAGGCAATGGGGCCACCAGAGGCAGAAGCATTGGCTTGAACCCTGAAATCTGCTCAGTAGCTTTGCATCTTGGGAATAGGCCTGGACAGCTCTGGGGAAAGCAACTGACTCTCTGTGTCCCACATCAGTAAGCTGTGGAAGTCCTAACAACCTAAAGAGGGAGATTAAAAATTGTTGAGGATGACTGAGGGTCAGGGAGTCTATGGGGAAGAAGCTTGGGGTCGAATAGTTGGGATCTCTGGTGATCAGGAAGTTTAACATTATGGCAAGAGTAGATTTGGGGGCCTGGAGGTCATGTTGTGGGAGATGCTAAGGGTCAGGGATGAGAGGGACTGGAGGTGAAGGGACAGAATGCTGAGTGGCAGCAGGGGAAAAGGGCTTGGCTCCAGGGTTTTGCTGGGGTAGTGTGTGAGGAGGGGGCTGGAAACCAAGGATTCAAGGAGATGAGTGCCATGGAATGGAAAGAATTGGGGACCAGAGATGTGGAGTGCTGATTATCTTGGTGGAAAGGAATGAGAATCTAAGATTGGAATGTTGAGTGTCATGGGGTTGAAAGGGATGGGGAGGTGAGATTGGAACTGGGAGCTGGGGGACTGGGTGTCACGGAGTGGACATGTTGGTATCTAGACGTTGGGAATCAATGGTTGGGATTGGAGGTAGGAGCAAGGACGATGGGAGGGGCTTAGCTGAGGGATGCTCACCATACAGGTTTTGGATGGCCAGGACATCATCCCAGTTCAGCACAGAGTCCCGTCCCAGCCTCTTGTAATAGGGCGCCATGAGAGCCCGAGGAGCAGGGGAGTGGCCCAACCCCAGTGTGTGGCCAATCTCATGGGCCAGCACTACGAATAGGTTCCGACCCCTTCGACTTTTGAAGGACCAACGCTCATCCTGATCGAAGTGTGCCTCCCCACGACGAGGGAGGAAGGCATGGGCCAGGGCGCCTCCTGCAGACACCCAAAGAGAGCAGATCAGTAACAAGTCCTTGTAGGAGGCGGGTAGAGGTGAGCAGGGCAGGTAGGATCATAGGTCTTAGATTTACTGGGGAAGAGGACAATGCCTTCATTTGACAGTTGAGGAAACTGAGTGACTTCACCCAAGGTTACACCAGAACTTAGTGGAAGAGGGGGCAGTAAATACAGGTTTTCTGGCTCAAAATCTGACTCTTTCAAGTCAAAATCTTGACTTCTGAAATCATCTAATCCTCCTTCATTACAAAGTGGGAAACAGACTTGGAGAGATGAAGCAGTTTGACCAGCATCACACGGGTAATATATGGGCAGAATCAGGACTCAGTAGCCACGTCCTTCATGCTACTTGGTGGAAGGGAGTGGGGGGGGTTGGAGATTTGGAGCGATGGAAGATGTGGGGGGGAAGGAAATTCAGGATTTTTTGTTATTTCCACTCTACCACACAAGGAAAGGAAACTGAGCCACTGAGGAAAACAGGAAGGGGTATGTTTGTAGCAAGCAGCACTCTCTTCTCTGTGGGAATGGAGGGAAAGCAAAGGCATGGATTACAGAAAAAATGATTTCTATTTTGCATTCCCACCTCCAGATACAAAGACTTTTATGTCCAATCCTATTTTGGCTCTGGATCATAGATTTCAATGAACTGATGGTTGGGGGAGGTGGCCCTAGGAGAGGACTGGGAGGTGCTAGCCTGGGATTAAGATCTTCCAATTTATTAAGTATAATTCCCAAAGTGAGAAGCCACATAATGTAGTGGGTTGAAAACTGACCTGGTTCATCTTGCCTCTCACACATACTAGCTGTGACCCTGGGAAAGTCACTTAACCTCTAAGACACTTTCTGAGACTAAATTGCAAAGAAGGCATTGACCTGCATTGGTTAGCGGGAGTTCCCTTCCCTGGGAATTCTGGGTAGCAATGAAGTCACAGGACCAGAGACCCATCCCCTCAATCTGTGAGGCAGGTAGAGTCCTCAGGGGAACAGATTACTGTGAACTGCCTGAGAGTGCTTAATGCCTCACCCTCAGTAAAATAACACTTCACAAGGTTTCAAAGCCTCCATAATCACTCAGAGATAGCTAGAAAGGATGTTATAATCCCAATTTCATTGTTGTTCATTCATTTTAGTTGTGTCCAACTCTTTTGGACCCCACCTGGGGTTTTCTTGGCAAAGATACAGGAGTAGTTTGTCATTTCTTTCTCCAGCTCATTTTACAGATGAGAAAACTGAGGCGAACTGGGTTAAGTGACTTATCCAGGGTCACATAGCTAGTAAGTGCCCGAGGCCAGATTTGAACTCAGGTTTTGCTGACTTCAGGCTTGGCCTTCTATTTGCTGCACCACCTAAGAGCTCTCAATTCCCATTTTAGAGATTAGCAAACTGCAGGAGTTTGCTGACAAGGTCCAGTGACTTGTCCAACATCACACAGATAATAACAGAAACCAGTATGAGTGCTGTGAAAAGGTCCACAAAATGAGAGTCAGAGAACCTAGGTTTGAATCCTGGCTCTGCAATTTATAATTTCTGACGTCAGAATCGGCTATGTCACTTAGAGACTTCCTAAGGGCAACTAGGTGGTTCAGGACTCAGGACGACCCAACGCTTCTAACCTATGTGACCCTGGGCAAGTCACATATCCTCTCTTTGCCTCAGTTTCTTCAACTGTAAAATGAGGATAATAATAGCATCTGCCTCTCAGGGTTGTTGTGAGGATCAAATGAGATAACATTTGTAAAGTGCTTAGTAAAGGGGTTGGCTCATAGTAGGCACTTAAATAATGTCCTTCATTCCTCCCTCCTTCGCTTACATCTTTCCTTCCTTCCATCCTTCCTTTCTTCCTTCTTTTCCTTCCATCCTATCTTCCTTCCATCTTCCCTTCCTTCCCTTTTTTCCTTCCTTCATTTCCTTCCTTCCTTCCTTTCTCCCTCCCTCCTTTCTTTTCATCTCCATGAATCCTATCACATCTGTCCTCTTCTCTCCACTCCCATAGTCACCACTCAGCTTTAAATCATCATCCCCTCTCATAGTTCTCAGTGGATTTTTGTAGCCCTTTAAGCTCTGACTGGAGCCACCCAATGTTCAGGCTTAATGTGCATTACTTCCTTTCATGCCCTCTAGATTGCAGCCAAAGTGGCCAATTTTGACTGTTCCCTAGCTGTCCTCCCTCCTCTTTGCGCCTCCCACCCCACCTTGCCTGGCATGCACTCCTTCCTCACCTCTACCTCTTAGAATCCCTAGCTTTGTTCAGTTCTCATTCATTAATAAGCATGTACTAAGCACCCACTGTGTGCCAGGCACATGCTAGATGCTGGAGATTCAAAGACAAAAAATAAGAGTCCCTGCCCTTATGGACGTTACATTCATTTTAGGGAAACAGCACGCACACATATGAATGTACATGAAATTCACAACGGGGGGGAGCATGCTCTAGACTTTCCCCAATCTTGACTTGGGTTACAATCCCATGGTCTAAAGTGAGGATGGGCAGATCTGATGGGAATGACAGGAGTCACATGAGGCGATCCAGGAGGTCAAGAAGCATCTATGGAGGTGAAACCTGTTTAAATCCTCACCCCAGAGGGACAGAGCAGAGAAAGGCCTAGTGGTTTAGTGGAAGGAGGGTTTACTTGGAATCAGGAAGACTGAGGTTTGAACCTTGCCTCTAATGCCTGCTAACTGGGCAGATCAATGAATGCCCCTGAACCTCCAAAAACGGGTCTAATCCTAACCACAGCACTTGCAGGATTAAGGCTCAAATAATGTATGTCCAGCGGTTTGTAGACTTTATATAAATAGCCCATTATCATTATTTAGGGGAAGGGGGTGGGGTGCGGAGGGAATGAAGCCCAGATTGGCCTTCCTTCCCTTGTAGGGGAAGGGAGATAGGGCCACCATCTCCAGGTCTCTGACAGATGCTTTTGGGAAGAAAGGGATTCTGCGGCTCTCTATCTCCATACAGGACAGAACAAAGGGGAAAAAGCTAAATGTGCATCAGGAAAGACTCCAGTGTGATGACAGGAAGAACCGGCCCTGAGTGTGGGGTCAGACTAAAGTGACTGAACAACAACAATGTTGGGGGGCAGAGAATCTTCACCCCAGAGGGGTGATCAGATCCCTCACTGAGAATGTGGGGACATGGGCTGCTAGGAATCTGCCCTATTGGCTTCTTTCTAAGCTAAAAGGAAATGGCCCAACCTTTTGAGATCCAGCTTTGTGGATTTCATTCACTCTTGAAAAGGGGCAAGGGACAGTCCCACCTAATGGTAGAAGGTACAAAGTGTTGTAAGGCTCCCCAGGCTGGAGATCTATGCCCAAATATGTGTGTATTTTTTTGTGTGTGAGCATTTATATATACATCTATGTATATATACATGTGTGTATATGTACACATTTACATGCATTTGGACTTTTCATTGGTGCAGCTATGCCCTCCCTTCCCCCTTGCTGATCTTAGCCACAGATCCCTCACCCACCTTTCCTCTAGGGCTAAGGGATGGGAGTGGGGGATTTCCCAGGGGAAGGAGTTTAAGAGAGAGGCTTACAGGGAGGAGGAAGGAGTCAGCACCTGGCCCATCAAAAGCGTTGCTCAGCCCATCATTGTGATCACCCTGGAAGAAGGTGAGGCGGATGTCAGCAGGAACTGACGTGGGTGCTTCCCAGAACTCCAGGGAGGACACGTTGCTCCACACCTGGAAGGCCGCGTGCACGGCCCGCCGCACTGCTGGCTCTGGCAGGTACTCGGGCCAGTTCACCAGGCGGTAGGAAAGATGGCGCTTGTACCATTTGCCTCCTGCTGGAGAAAGAGCCAGAGAATTAGACATTTGCTTGATTATGCATGGAATTCTTTGCCTGGCCCTGTCCTAGAGTTTGGGGAGAGGAGTCTTGACAGGGTGGAAGGAACACTGACCTGGGTGAGGCAAGAGACCCCAGCTCTGCCACCTACTACCTGTCTTATTTGGGGCAACTCACACCCTCTCTTGTAGGGGCACCTAGGCAGTTCAGTGGAGTGCAGGACTCAGGGAGACCTGAGTTCAAATCCTGCTTCAAATACTTACTAGTTGTCTAGCCCTGAGCAAGTCACTTAAAATCTTCCTGCCTAAGTTTCCTCTTCTGCAAAATGGAGATAATAATAGCATCTACCTCCCAGGGGTGCTGTGAAGATTAAATGAGAAAATATTTCTAAAGCACTTAGCCCAGTGCTGGGTATGCAGCAGGTGCTTAATTAATGCTTGTTTGTTCCATACAGCTCCTCCCTTCTTTTCTGGGCCACGATTCCAAAGTCCAGATTTGCAAAATCTGGTTTGGAATGCTGAATCACAAGAAAAATCAGTATTTGCCCCAGAGAACAGCAATTGAAGTGTTCCTCTCTCCTCTTGGCAGAGAAGTGAGGAGCTACAGGGCGAGAATGTTGCAAGCATGGCCAAGCTGGTCACTACATTTTGATGAACTGTTTTTCTAACCAAGCTTTCAGTTTAAGGGATAGGGAATGACTGAGATTTAAAATCAAAGAGTGGCAATAAAACCTATCATTTTTTAAAATGATGGTCTATTCTATAACATACAGGAGATGGGGCCCCTTCTCTAGTCTGATGCTAGGACAGGCCCAGATATGTAGGTTAACTCCAAGGTGTTGAGGTCACCTACCCAACCCCATCTTCTCCCCTCTCCTATTCCTACCTGGGACTGACCATGTGGAGCTGGGGGTGGTTTTCATTCTTAATCTATGTTCCTTTCCAGCTGAGACCCCCACTCCAATCCATTCTTTCAAAATGCTAGGTAGGTGGCAAGCATGGGGAGGGAGGGAGGGTAGAGGAGTAGAAGACACACAGCTGCAGATCCCCAGCTGCTTCCTTTGTCTCCTCTGCTCCCACCACCCCTCTCCTCCCATTTACAGAATCCCTGGCCTGTGGCTGCCCTGGGAACCACAAGAAAAGCTCATAGTCATTTTTTCAACCCCCTCACCTTACCCTACCCTGTTTGTTTCTATGGGATTCATCTGGGAAGCCTAGGATCCCTGAGGGGGGGAGGGAGGGGGGGAAAGAGAGAGAGAAAGAGAGAAAGAGAGAGAGAGAGAGAGAGAGAGAGAGAGAGAGAGAGAGAGAGAGAGAGAGAGAGAGAGAGAGAGAGAGAGAGAGAGGAGAGGGAGAGAGAGAGAGAGAGAGAGAGAGAGAGAGAGAGAGAGAGAGAGAGAGAGAGAGAGAGAGAGAGAGAGAGAGAGAGAGAGAACTAGCTACAGCCTGGAAGGATTTTTCCATCTCCAATTAATTTAAGTCATTTCTTTCATAGGATTACAGATCTAAATCTGAAAGAGACCTCAGAGGCCATCAAATCTAACTTCTTCATTTTACATATGAGGAAACTGAGGCAGAGGTTAAGTGACTTGGCCACAGTCATATAACAAGCTAAGTGTCTGAAACAGGATTCACACTTGGGAGTTCCTGACTCCCAGGTTACTGTACTCCCCACTAGGCAACCCGGCTGTAATTCCAACTATAGAGAGGGCAAGTAGGCCCTCAGGCCAGGAAGCTGCCGATGGGGTGGTTCCTGCCTTTGCTTTTTCTTCCAGATGCCTTCCCAGACATCTTGCTTATCCCTCCTCCCACCTCCCATTGCCCAAGTCAGAACACCATAGGAATTAGCATTGGGGGTGGGTGGGGTGGGGGTGGGGGACCCCAAAGACCATGTAGTCCAAATATCTCATTTTAGGAAACTGAGGCCCAGCGAATCAAAAGGACTGGCTCAAGGCTAGCCAGTTAGAACAGCACCATGCCTCAAACTTGGGCCCTCTGGCTCCTAGTCTTTGCACAATGCAAGGTTTATATTAGATAGGGATTGATTAGAATGAATAGCCCCAGTGTTTCTATTTGACAATTCTCTCTAGGCCATGCAGCTCAGAGCTGTGGGGGCAGTGGTGTTTCTGGGAGAGAAGACAGATAAGCATTAGCCAGAGGAGCAGAGACCCAGTCTGAAGGCAATTTCCCATCCAAGCCCAGCGCACTGGAATCACTGGTTCCTCTGCTTCACCATCGATGTTGCCCACAGGTCTGGAAACCAGACAACCGAGGCAGAGCAGTCGGGAAGCAGCTTTGTATACCGGAGATAGCACTGGACTTGGAATCAGCAAGACACGAGTTCAAATTTGGCTTTTGATCCCTATCAGCTGTTATTTGACTTCACTGAACCACAGTTTCTTCATCTATAAAATGGGGATACAAACGGCCCAGTACCTACTAAGTACCTACTTGTGAGGCTCAAATGTGTAGTCTAGGGATCTTCCAACATTTATGGCTATCAGTCTGGTGAAACCTATAGACTAAATGCATAAAATAAAACATAGAGGATTGCAAAGGAAATCAATTATGTTGAAATACAGTGTGTAGACAGGAAAACTGCAATTACATGGGATCTAGCTAGCAGTCATTAGAGACTACAATAATTTTGAAGCTGTTATTGTTCAGTCATTTCAGTCCTGTCTGACTATTTGTGAGCCCATTTGGGAGGTTTTCTTGGCAAAAATAATGGAGTGGTTTGCGATTTCCTTTTCCAGCTGAGGCAAACAGGGTTAAGTGACTTGCCCAGGGTTACACAGCTAGTAAATGTCTAAGGCTGCATTTGAACTCAGTTCTTCTTGAAGTGGTGTATAAATCTGGGGAAATAAAATATAAATGTAATATATAAGTACAAATCTTTAGGTTAGCATTATTATCTTGGCTCCCTCCTTTGGTGGTAGAGCTGAGGTGAGAGGAGGGAGAAGGAGGGGGCAATCTTGGATTTGGAAACTGTGCATGGGAACAGGGAGAGAGAGGGCAGAGGGCTTGGTTCCCCAGACAGGTTCAATGTGAGGGGATCAGAGGATGGGGGTGGCAAAAGGGGCATGGCTGGGAGATGGAGAGAATCTCATTGGTCAGCTCCGCCATTCCTTCTCTGGTGTGTTTGGTTTGGCATGGGGCTCCAGACTGCCCTGGAGAACAACCCCCCAGGGAGGGTGATGGAAAGATCACCTGATGGACGGGGGAGGGAAGGAGGGAAAGAGGAGGCAGGCTCTAGAATCCCCCATCTCCTCCCTCCCCCTTGTACGTATGGGGGAAGGAAAGAAATCAGATATTTGTAGCCTGTTGGGGGTAAAGGTGGGGAAAGATGATCTAGGAGCACAGAATTAGGCTTCTGTCAGCCCTTCCCCTTGGAGGAAGCAGCTCTTCGGAGGGCCCCCTCACCCCACTTAGGGGATAGCAGCTGGCTAAGTAAATTCTCCTACTCTCTTCCTGAGGCAGGCCCTGAGGATTATAGCTGTCCCAGAGCCAGATCCAGGAAGTGTCACAGGGCTCTTTGTGTGTGCTTGTGTGGAGGAGTGGGAGAGGAGGCCAAGCAGCAGACATCGAAAGAAGAAAATGAAAGGTCTTTCTTAGGGGTAGGGGGAGCCAAGGAGACAAGGAAGGAACTTAGGTGAGTGGGGAAGGAGGCCTTGCCCTCCCTGGCCCAGGCTTGTTTTCTTTAGACTGGCCCTGGTGAGTTAGAAGTTTATGAATTCCTGACCTGGAGCTATGGAGAGAAGGCAGGACTAGATTGGTCACCACAGTTACACTGGGTGGAGGACATTCCCGCAGGGCCAGGTGGCAGCTAGCATCCTTCCTCACCTGTTCAGTTTCCCTTACTACCCTACCCTCCATACCCCTCCCCAGGGCAGAGCAGTGGGCAGCTGTCAGCTTGGCAACCTTTCCTCCTCTATACCCACAGAGGCCCTCCAAGCACCTTCCAGACTTCAGCTTTCTCCCACTTATCTCCAAGACGAAAGGCCAATCAATAAACATTTATTAAGCTTCTACTATGTGCCTGGCACTGTACTGAGGCTGAGGATACAAAGAAAGCTAGAAGATGGTTCCTGCTTTCAAGGAGCTCAGTCTGATGGGCTGTGTGTGTGTGTGTGTGGGGGCAATATATAAACAACTATGTTATATACAGGATAATTTGGAAAGAATCACCAGGGGGAAGCTGCTTCAATAAGCAGGGCTTGGGAAAGGCTGCTTGTAGAAGGTGGGATTTTAGTTGAGATTTAAAAGGAAGCCAGGGAAGCCAGAAGGCAGAGATGTGGAGGCAGAGCCTCCCAGGCATGGGGGACAGCCAGAGAATGTGCCTGGAGCCAAGAAGTGGATGGTCTGACAAGCAAGGAGTAAACTATCCACTCCCAGCATGCACTGCATGCAGGAAACCTGGTCCTGCAGAGGGAAATGCAGCAGGCCAAATTTCAAATAGCAAGTGAAGGACCAGGCTGGGCTAGAATCCAGGAATCTCCTCACTACATGATCCTTACAACTCCACTTCTCACCCCTGATTCCTGGATTTGGGTGTGAGGAGGAAACGCTTACCATATGTCACATCTCATAAAGATGGGTGAACCTTAGAAGTCACTGAGTTAACCTCGTTTCATAGATATGGAAGGCTGGCCCAGGTTACAGAGGTAGGCAGATTTAAATAAACTGTGAGTGCCGAAACCAGGATTTGAACCTGCTTTCTCCGACTCTCAAGTCTCACATTCTTTTCACTGTACAGTTATCCCTTCCACATTACGGGGCTAGAAAGCCCCTTGATTTGGAAAATCTGAGTATAATTCTTTGGGACTCCCTTCATACCAGGGAAGAAGTCTGAATTTTTTCTTTTTCTTTTATGGGGTGTTTATAATACTTTATTGTAAAATTTGGGTTAAATATTTGGTCATAGGCTCTGTGTTGTCTGCTGGCCTTTGAGTGTCATCTGTGGCTTTTGCAAAACTCCCTAAAAATTCCCGAGAAATATCAAAACCACAACAGGGAAAGTTGAAATGTGGAAGGGATAACTATACCATGTCAACAGATTATATTGTATCATATGTAATTTAGGGTTGAGAGGGACCTTAGACACCATTTAGTCTTTGGTCCAAACCCTTCATTTTACAAATGAGGGAGCTTAAGGCCACCTAGATAATATGACTTGTCCAAGGTCACACAGGTAGTGGAGGAGCTGAGCCAGGATTTGGACCCAGTTCCTCTGACCCTAAATCTAGTGCTCTTTTCACCAGCATGTTGTGCCTCCTCTCTGTGTGACAGTCCAGAAGGGGAAGAGTGGAGGGTGGAGTCCAGCTTTGGACTTTGAAGACTGTGTGTGGGAATTGGAGGACAGCTGGTGGGACAATGGGCTGGGTTCCCCAGGCAGAATCAATGATGTAGGTGGCTGGTCCTCAGCTTTTCCTCCTGCTGTCCTCAGCTGCACTCAAGGTGGGGGAGAGAAGGCTGGGAGGCAGAACCCTCAGCTTCTCTCCTCAAAGCAGGCTGGTCCCTGGTTCTGACTTGGCCCCTAACACTCCCTATTAACTCTCTTGTTGTCCCTGCTACCCAGCACTTTGACAGCAGAAAGGCTGCCCAGGTAGCATCCCCCTCAGATGCTGCTCCACAGTGGGTTGAAGGTGCCTCCATACTGAGGGGTAGGGGAGAGACCCAGTTCCTTTGGAACTCCTGAAGGGCTGTGAGGGCAGCTGGGCAGTGGGAGGAGGGGAGGGAAGGAGGAAGAGGACTCACTTTGCTGCACAAAGCGTTTCTTGAGCCTCATCTTGGCTCTGCGTCCAGCAAATAGCGAACCGAGCCTCTCCTCCCAGGCTGAATGGCTCTCTGTGTCATCCACCCCACACCGCGGCAGAGTCATTTGGTGCATCGTGGCAGTATCCAGCAGCCCACTGACTGGTAGGTGGGACACCCACTGGAACTCCCTAGAGGGAAGAATTCAAATAGTAGAGCAGGCAAGAGGGGCAGTGGGACAGGGATAGGGGGAGGGATCAATGTCCATGGCCTCACTTCCTGGGGCTGTGATGGACAAATCTGAGGATGGGAAGAGGCTAACTCTCAGGGTTCCCCACTCCACCTCACAATCCTCCAATCTCCTACCCCTGCCCTGGGCCAACCAGATCTCACCTTATGGCATCGGTGAGCTGTGGGGAGCTGGAAGCTTCTGGGGCGTGCTCACGAAGGTACCCATACTTCTCCAAAAACACCTGGGAAGGGCAGGAGGCCAGGCAGACAAAGGAAAGTGAGTTACTGCTCTCCCACCCCCGGACCCCAGAAGCACAAAGACACATGGCTAAAGAATTCATAACTCTTCTAAGTTGTTCATAGTACTGGGATGGAGCTTTACATCCCTCTTGCCACTTCCTTTTAAAATTCTGGTTTTTTTATTTTTAAAATTCTGTTTTATTTTCTGTTCTGAATTTTCTCCCTTCTGCCTCCCCTTTCCCTACCATTAAGAAAGAAAAACAAAACCTTACAGACATGTATAGGGAAACAAAACAAATTCCCACATTAGCCATGTCCAAATAAATATATGCTTCAATCTGCACTTCTTTCTCTGTTTTGAGGTCTTATCCACTTCCCATCGGCTCTTACATCTATTTCTTCCTTGTGATTCACTCAGATTGTTCCAGAAACTTCACCTCTTTCCAGAAGGTTTAGGGAAAAAACCTTTTATTTTCAATTAAAAGATATATAATTTATTTCCTTCTCATCCTCCCCTGACAATTGGAAGAAACAAAAGAAAAACTAAACTTTTGTTCCAGGAAGGCTTCCCCCCTCTCCTACCAATAATTCCAACTTCCAATTACTGTCTGCATTTGGCCCTTCTCCACCACCAATTCACTTGACATTGGCCCATATTTGACATCAGTATCAGATCATCTCTACATAGACATTCTGAGAATTACAAATACTCTACCTGCAAATGCCTCATAGATGATCACTTTGCTGGCTACTCACTCCTGACTCCTTCCCACATCTGCGATAAAGTTGTTTCTCCACCCACCTCTCACTGTGGCCCACCACCAAGCTGCATTGAGCCAATGTCACCACTGGGTGGCCATCTTGAGGAACTGACCCAATCAATGTGTTTTGCCCATATCAGTGACTATGTTCTGGTGCTGTGGTTCCAAACTCTGTGTGTGTGTGTGTGTGTGTGTGTGTTCTTGGAAGTCTTTTCAGCAACAATGGGGAAAAAAGTGTTGCGAACTTCCAGGGAAATCTGACATACTACTCATAAAATTCTACAATTATTTAAGGCATCATTTTTTTTTTTTGGTGAACCCCACTGGACCAGATGTTAGGGAACTCCTAAATGGAAATCACTGCCCCTGAGAAACTCTCACCCTGCCCACTCCTCCCACCACCACTGGTGACTGCTTCACCCAGACAACTACATCAGGAAGGCCCTGGCCACCATGTTTAGCTAAAGTCTCTTCTCTCCAGCCATCTCCCCCAGTCTCCCCATTTGACTAGCTGCCATACACATTAGTTAGTTGGCCTACAAACACATTAATGCTTACTAATGTACACTGGGAATACAAAGAAAGGCAACAACATGATGGTTCTTGAATTTACCTTCTAATGATGAAGAACAACCTGTAAACAATTAGAGTTTGTATGTTTCCATTTGATTCAATTCAGTAAACATTTATTAAGGGCCTACTAGGATCCAGGCACCGTGCTAAGTGCTGGGATTACAAAAAGAGGCAATAGTCTCTCCCCTCATGGAGTTCACAGTCTAATGGGGAAGATAACACAAAAACAAATACATTAAAAGTGAGCTCCATATAGGATAAATAGGGAAGGCACTAGAATTGAGAGGGGTTGGGGAAGGCTTCCTGTAGGATGTGGGATTTTAGTTGGGTCTTAATATGTACAGAACTGGTAGCTAGGTGGTGCCATAGTGGGTAGAGTGCCTAACCTGGAGTCAAGAAGACTCCTCTTCATGAGTTCAAATCTGGCTTGAGACTCTTCCTAGCTGTGTGACCCTGGGAAAGTCACTTAACCCTGTGTGCCTCAGCTTCCTCATGTGTAAAATGGGCTAGAGAAGGAAATGACAAACCACTCCAATATCTTTGCCAAGAAAACCCCAAATGGAGTGATGAAGAGTTGGACCCAACTGAAAATGGCATGGTAGGTGGAAATCTCAGAGGGAAGGTACTAGTTGTACAGGGAGATGGGAAAAGGCCTATTGAAGAAAGTGGGATTTGAAGTAGTATTGAAGGGGGCCAGAGAAGCCGAGAGGTAGAGGAGAGGAGGGAGAGCATTGCAGATATGAGAGGCACAGCAAGAAGCCTGTATCACTGAATCACAGAATCCATGGAGGAAAGGAAAGAGTGAAATGTGGGAAGGGGCCAGGCAGTGAAGGGCTTTCAGTGCCAAACTGAGCATTTGATTTTCAATCCTCAAATTATCTTTCCTCCATTCTATTTTTTAAGGCAGTTCACTTCTTGGATAAGGTTTTCTATCTTCTATTTTAAGGTATTTCAGTTTTCCTTTGAGTTTCTTTCCCTCCCAAACTCTAGTTTTTTCTATAATTTTTACCTCTTGCTTCCTTTCTCCTGGTAGTTCTGTGGCTGGCTTGCCTGTGCTCATGCTGGCTTCCCTGATGGCATCCCTCTACTCCTCTCTGCTGGCTTCTGGCCATCTTTCTGAACAATTCTCACATCCATGGAGGAATTTAATTTCTAAAGCTTTTTGATTTTGATTTACTTTTTCTCTTCGTCTCTACTTGTAGTTGTTAAAGCAGGGGTGGGAAAGGGCCACACTTGAGGACCTAGAGGACCACAGGTGGCCTGAGAGCCACAGGTTCCCCACCCCTGGGTGGGGTGACTCTCTTCATCTGGGTTTCATCTTGGGCTTTTCTTAACCTACAATATTTTGTTGAACATGGTTTTCGGTATTTAGCTCTGTTTACTCACATTTCCAGCCTAAACTGTTGGGTATGGGGAGATGGGGCTTGGGCCAACTCCCTCAAGCACTCTTGGAAGGGTGGTGTAGGGCTTGTTTGATCCTGCCCCCTCTGTAGTCCGGATGACCCTTGTCATTGCTGATCTCCATGGCACCTACGATTAGACTTCCATTCTCTTAATCCTGGCTTCTGCCTCAGTCTCCTAGGGGTCTACCTCAGGTTCCGGCATCTGTCAGCCTCTGTCTTCTCCTCATGCAATCCCCAGTTGGGAGGTGGTTTTGTCCTGTGCTGTGGCCCTGGTAGGCCCCAGTAGGATATGAGAAATCGAGTCGGTTTCAGGTCTCCTGCCCATCACTCCCAGATCAGATGAGCTGAATGCTGGGAAGACTCATCTTCCTGAGTTCAAATCCAGCCTCTGACACTTACTAGCTGTGTGACTCTGGGCAAGTCACTTAACTCTGTCTGCCTCAGTTCACTCATCTGTAAAATGAGCTGGAGAAGGAAATGGCAAACCACTCCAGTATCTTTGCCAAGAAATCCCCAAATGGGGTTGTGGACAGTCAGACTCAACAAGAAACCTGCAGGACTTCTAGGAGTACTCTAGGAATAGTACTTCTGTTCTGACAAATCACAATCAGAATCTGGTTTTAAGTCCCAGATTATTAGATTTAGGTAATTTGGGGACTCCTCTCTTCCAGGTCTCCCCAAGCTCAGAATTGCTGCCTGGCTTTGGTCTCCAGAGCAGTTTTTCACCAGCTTCTGGATGGCTCTGAGAAGCTCCCCTCATCAGCTCTGCTAGCTTCCAGATGACTCACCTGAGTTTGCCCCGACTTCCTGGGAACAGCCCTTGGCCTCACCTCGGCAGTGTTCACATCAGCCTAAGCTTGTCCTGACCTCCCTGGTGGGTCCCTCTCCTGCTTCTGTGACTGGTTTACCTGTGATCATGCTCGCTTCCCTGGTGACCTCCCTTCCCTCCCTTCTCCTGGCTTCCAGCCATTGACTCTGGAGGAACTCCCTCTGGAATCTTTCTGATTTTCTTCACCAGCGGCTTTTCTTTGGGACTTTTAATATATTTGCTGGGGTTTACATGGGAGACCTGGGCTACTCTATCTCCACCTTGCCTGGAATTCTTCTCCATTTCTTGCTAATCAGTTGTTCAGCTGTTTCAGATGACCCCATCTGGAATTTTCCTGGCAAAGATCCTGGAATGGTTTGCCATTTCCTTCTCCAGCTCATTTGACAGATGAGGAAACTGAGGCAAACAGGTTAAGTGACTTGCCCAGGGTCACACAGCTAGTAAATGTCTGAGGCCAGATTTGAACTCAGGAAGAGAAATCTAATGCAGCATTCTATCCACTAATCAGTTGCCTGAAAAGAATCTCTCTCCCTCTTTTTATTCCAGTTTGAGCCAAAAAATGACTCCTAATCATTGCTGATAAACACAATAGTGATTGTAATAATAATGATAATAATGATTCATATAAGGCCTTAAGGTTTATAAAGCACTTTACAAATATTACTTTGTTTTAACCTCAAAACAACCTGGGGAGGTAGGTGCTAATGTCATGCTCATTTAATAGATGAGGAAACTGACAGACCTGTACTAGACCTGTAGCCTCTCCGAAGCCCTTGAAGGTGCTTCGCTTTCCCTTTAGATTCTCCCCAGATGTCTCCATCCCCTTCTTCACACACTTTAAATATACCACATTTTCCTCAGGTACCAACATCCAAGACAAATAGAATGCTATTTCTCATTATGTTTTGTTGTTCTCATGGGAGACCTGGATTTAAACCCCACCTCTGACACTTACTAGCTGTGTGACCACGGGAAAATCACTTAAGCTCTCCACTTCAGCTTCATCATCTGCAAGGTAGATGTATCATTTCATAGAGTTGTGAGGAACAAATGAGCTGATAATATCAGCCCAGATCATTCTGCAAAGCTTTAAGCACTGTGCAAGTATCTGCTGTTACGATTATAATTTCTTTTTGTTTTTTTATTGCAAATACTCAGTAATTCAGATACATTATGAGTTGAATAGTCATTTGTGGATTAGATAGTTTATCAATAATCAAATATAATAGTATTTTTATGGGAGAAATGCTATCTAAACTGATTTAGATTGTGAGCTCCTTGAGGGCAGAGACTGTCCTTTTCATACTGGTATCCCTAAAATTTAACATAGTGCCTGGTATACAGTAGGTGCTTAATAAATGTTTAGGGCAGGTAGGTGGCTGAGTGGATAGAGTGAGTTCAAATCCGGCCTCAGACACTTAGTATCCAACCTTGTT